ACCTGAATATGCGGAATAACCCAGACTGTGCCTTACAGTTCTTGGACAAGATAGCTCGAGTCGGACGTAAAATAATACTTATCCCCTCATAAAGAAATTCATTTTTTCCATAGAAAAAATAAATTATGACAATTGTTAGAAAAAGAGAAAGAAAGTCTTGCAGAAAAAATGGGTGTTCAGGGAATCATTAGTCTTGCCAACTAAAAAGTTAAATGAATTATCGTAATCATGATTCACGAGCACCGAAATGTGAGGGAAAGGAGAAAAGAAAGATGCAGGTCTGAGATAAGCATTTGAGGACAAGGAAAAGGATGAAAATCCTCCATATTTGTGGACAGTATTCCAGAGTTTCTGGTCTTTTTCATTACATGCTCTGACTTTGCAATTGTATTGTTGACTGCTAAATGGGCCTTCAGATTTTCTTCTCGGAAGTTTCAGCTAAAAACACGCATAAATCTTTGGCAAAAGGCGGCCAGAGCCCAAACTTCCTTTACTTCTTTAATTTTTGGCTTAATACCCTACAAGACCCCTAATTTTGTTCAAGTCTCTAGGATTAATTCCAAAAAAAAGCACCAATTTTAGGTCGAGAGATAATTTTGGCCCGAACTTTTTTTTGTTCCATAAAAAAGCATCAACTTTAGGTCGATGGACAATTACGGCCCGAACTTTTTTTTGTCTCGTAAAAAAACACCAACTTTCACTTAAATCCCAAATCTGACCCTTATTGACTTAAAATCATTGATTTTTCAATTTGACTATTCCACCTTAGCAATAAATCCACGTGACTTGCTGACTGGATTTAAAGTATTATTCATTGTCTTATTCTCTGAACCACTGCTTGAAGAATAACGGTGAAACTGTTCGCCTCCTTCACTTCACCGACAAGTCAAAAATATCTCCAGATTGAATCTTTCTCGCCAAACTTTGTCGTTTTGTCGTAATCTGAAGCTGTAGATCACCGTCCATCGACAGACGCCATGGAAGAGATTCGCCAGGCTCACCACCATAACTTTTTTTCTCAAACAATGGTAACTTCAGACAGAAAGTCAATGGGGGGCCAAATTTGGGATTTAAGTGAAAGTTGGTGCTTTTTTACGAGACAAAAAAAGTTCGGGCCAGAATTGTCCCTCGATCTGAAGTTGGTGCATTTTTACGGGACAAAAAAAAGTTTGGGCCATAATTGTCCCTCGACCTAAAGTTGATGCTTTTTTTATGGAACAAAAAAAAGTTCGGGCCAAAATTATCCATCGACCTAAAGTTGGCGCTTTTTTTTTAAATTAACCCCTCCATTCTATCGTAAACTTTTTTCGCCTCATGAACAACTTTCAACTTTTGGTTCAATCCCAATTCTACTCTAAACATTTTTTGTCTCTTAAAAAACTACTAACTTCTACTTGAGTCTCATATCTACCCTCGTTAACATTCCGTCCAAAATTGCCCTTAGCAATGTGGCATTTCCATGTCATTGTTCTAGTTTATTCCCAAATTTCATATCCAAGAAGATATCTTTTGGAGTTGAATTTCCATGTCAACCCAAACAACGTCTTATTAGATCTTAAATTTTGGTTAAAAACTAGAGCAATTAGTGTTGGCTTGCTTCAATTGTTCAGATAGTCTTTCTTCCATCTCACTCGAGAATCTTCGATTTTGCTGTTAGTCGTTAATCTCTCGAGCTCGGGAGTCTTCCATCTCTAGCAGTCCAAGCGCTCACACTCAAGACAGTCGGTTTGGGACGCTCAAATAGCTTTCTTGGGAGTTTTCCATCTTTCGATTATCAAGAGAAATTTTGGACTAAGAGTTAACGGGGTCGGATTTGGGACTCAAGTAAAAGTTTGTGGTTTTTTATGAAACAAAAAAAGTTTAAGATGGAAATGGAACTAAACTTAAAGTTGCAGGTTTTTTATGGGACAAAATAATTTTTGGATAGAATTAGGACTTTTCCTAAAGTTGAAAGTTTTTTAGGATATTAGACCTTTTTTTTAGCTAGACATGTTCTTAGCTCTAGCTAATCTCAATGACAGCCTCCAATGATCTTTCTTTGCCTTTGAGATAAGTACATTGGAAGTCCTAAAACTTATCAAGGAAGTGCAATTGAGTTCTAAAACTTTCAAAAAGTGCAATCAAATCCTAAAACTTATCGCAAAATGCAATTAAGTCCTAAAACTTTCAAAAAGTGCTATTAAGTTGTAAAATTTTTCAAATTGGTCCAATCAAGTCATTTTGTTAAATGCACTTTTGAAAATTTTAGGACTCGATTGTACTTTTTTAAAATTTTAGAACTCGATCGCACTTTCGTAATAACTTTTAGGACTTTTAGTGCATTTATCCATTGCCTTTTTAATTAGGGCAAAAGCTATCAAAAACCCTAAATTATGTCCACTACAACACATTTACCCTAAAAAAATTTTCTGTTACACTAAAAATCCCAAACTTATACCCATGTGACACATTTATTCACATTAAAAACTTTGTTAATGAAAATCATTAGAAGTTTGTATACGTGGACGCCATAAAGCAAACGATGTTGTCAAATAAAAATAATGTTGTTTTAACTGAAAAATCATCTAACGAAACTTTGATGAAAAGTAAATGTGTCACATAGGTAGAAGTTTGGGATTTTTATGTCACAAGAAAAAGTTTAGGGTAAATGTGTCACAATGAGCATAGTTTGGGATTTTTTATATCATAAAAAAAATCAAGGTAAATGTGTCATAATTTACATACATTGAAGTTTTTTTTATGGCTTTTTCCCTATTAATTATCAATCGTCGTTTATTTATAGAAGTCACCAGACAAATCAGGTGGAGTTTTGAACTTATGTTGAGCTGATAAGATAAGATAGATAGTATAGTTAATTTAACCAAAAGTTGGAGGAGGACTTAATATTACTCAATTTATTTGTCTCTTATTCTTGAAATGCCATGAGAAGTCCGACTATACTTTAGGGTTAAATTCACGTTTATCTGTCGTGTTCGTGTCCAAAAATATTTTTCACAAAATGTTCTTATTAAAATTGAACAAAAAATATCAATTCATGTATGTCGAATTGTGTTTGTTTGGATTGGGTTTCGTTTTCGGGATTCTTTTAATAAGTTCGTGTCCGATTCAAATCACCTCTTCATATCGCGATGAAAATTGTTATACTTCAAGTGTTAGATTAAACAAAAATCTTAGCCAAAAAAAAAAACTCTATATTCGTAATTTACAACACAACTCGATTTCAGTTGAATTTTTACACACTAACACGATATAAATTTGGCCATCAATGTACTTTCTCGTATTCATCCTGTAAACGTTTGTTCATGCTCTCTGTTAATTGGAAAGACACAACATAGTAATTCTAAGGTATAGTTTCAGTATTCCAGTTGTTACTCACCATAAGGTTTGACAGACGGAACGTGTAACATCTCCAAATCTTGTTTATATCTTCATTACTGTTACTCATCCTTAAAGACAGTAAAGATAGAAGAACACCTATAGAAAATTATACTATGCTTTTGTCATCTCTGTCACGTATCGCTCACCGAATTTGCTATATCTCTATACTACTCAAATTCATTTTTCGCCGAAAATCTATATCCATTAATTTATCGAAAAATATGTTTTAATGGTGGAAAACAATCGGTCGCCTCATGCAAGGAAAGAAACTAAAACTTGGCAATTTTCTTTTCGCTTTCGAACTCTTTAAAATTTTGCATACTTGTAACACACCAAGAAGAGCCATCACCCTTCAAGTTCTTGGTTTGTCTAAATGGAACCAATACCCTAAAGTTGTTTAACTAAACCACACACAGTGAAGCAGGATAACCATTCAATCTTGTGGCATGATTCAGGACTCTTACATCATTCCATCAAATTTGACATATGTATACTCTTCCGCATGATTGTACCCTGCAGATTAACTTAATTTGCTCTTCGTATGTTTGCTTCGTTGGTACTTGTTGGGATTCATAAGTTGTTCTCCATCTTTCCAATGAATCAGACATTTCCAACGGTAAATCTATTTCTTGGTATAGCTTCTCACATCTCTTTCTCAGTAGAAACAAGGAAATCTTTTGTTATAATCCCTTGACAAGTCATGCGACGACATGATTATGTGCACAAGTCCCTACAGACCATGAGCACACAACTAGTTATGATGCCAAATGCGGGTTCTACTGCGGAAAGTAACTTTCGAAGATCCTATCTTCTTTTCAAGAAACGACTCCAACACGATAGCTGCGTAGTTTCTTTTTGCCCTTACAAGCAGAGACATGTTCCCATGGCCATCTCAAGTGGTGGATTCAGTGTTTTGATCTCAAATGCACTCGTGTAGAAAAGCTTTGAGCTGGAGATCTTCTGAAGATGGATGCATAGCAAATATGAACCATTCTCACCTGAAAGCAAAAGAGAAGAGGGGCCAGAAAACAACTCCGGGAGCAGAAGCAGACATGTCCTGATTTGGCCATTCATTCTCAGATCTCAAACACAACATCCTTTATGTACAACAAAAGTAGAAGCTTTCACAGACAGTACTTGAAAATTCGACATGATCATGGCAGTCCAGGGAACTGCAGGTGATCCCATTCAAGCCACATATGCTTGGAAATCTGATTTGGTTGCATCTTTGATACTTGGTTGAGAACAACTAGGGCGATCAGTTCCCTTAAAACCAGTTTCATTTTATGAAACCTGGAACCCACCATATTTATCCAAAAACGTACCCTATTTTTCAGTTCGATTTCAGGATCTACTCGAAAACCTGTTTTTCTTTTGTTCCTTTTTTTTGTTTCATTTTTTATAGCAATATAATATGAACAACAAAACGGTTCAAAATAAAAGATGAACGAGAGCGAGCGAGCAAAGGCGAGTCAAGAATGAGCAAGGATTGCGAGGCTCAAACGAACGAGGGCGAGCTGTGAGCGAGCGAGGAGGAGAGTGAGTCGCGAGCTAAAGAGAGAATTGTGAAGTGCCTGAGTGAGGTTAGAGAGAACTACGAACAAGAGAGAGAGACAAAAAAATACCAAGAGAAAAACTAGGGTTTTTAAGCTTTATGAAATTGGTTCCAAATTTAGTTTGATTGGTCCGGTTCCTAGGTGGTTCTTCACACTGAACCGGGGGTAAACCCGGTCCAGTTACAAAAGCCCTACAAACAACATCGATCAACCCCTCCACTTGTCCTTGCGCTGCCTGATCTCCCTCAGACATTCGACGGGTGACTTGCAGCCTACGATCTCCTGCAAAGTCGCACAAGAATTTGCAAAGCATTAGAGCATCACTCTATTGGGTAGATAACGAGCTAGGGAAAGAGAATTAAACACCCCATGCAAGTTCCGAACATTCACAAAGTCGACAGCGAAGGTAATTAACTTCACCTGCAGCTCCGGTAAATCAACCCGCATGAAAGGGTTGGTCTCCATTTCTTCCTCAATGGTGGATGGAATAGTCGGGAGGCCTTTCTCCTGCTGTTGCTGAGCCCATGATAACTTTTGCTTTATCTTCACGTTCTCTTGTTCAACGGTGAGAGCAAACAGCAAGTTCTTCACCGTGTACTACAAAATAGCATTCAGGAACATTGTTCAGCTTTTTGCCAAGGAAAAGAAAGCGAGAAACACCATATAACAAGAAAAAGAAAATGACGCTTGCTCTCTGACATTGAGAATTTGAACGTAACAAAAATCTGTAAAAACTAGAATTGTTGCTGTTGTTAAGGAGCCAGTCGCCATTGTCACTTCCCTATCTCATGTTGTATCTCGCATACTGCAATATCCAGAGCACGCAGCAACTCACTGAAGAACATCTACAATTCAAAAAGCTAGGGAGGTGTGTATGCTTGTCAAGAGTGTCCTTACCACTTAATCGTATCCCCTATATAGCATAATGGCCATGCAAACGTCCATTTTTTATTTAATTTACAGAGTATTTTCGCTCAAGCCACATGCTCGTCCAAATAAACTGCTAAGATTTCGTTTAATCTTCTTCATACAATATGATCTCTCTTTTGAACATAAAAGCCACACGGCAATAATTAAACTGTACTCATTCACTCTCACAACAGTTGGCCAAGGGAAGGAGAAGAACCGCATCTCAGCACTACTTATAAATTGTGCATAGAATTTCTGTACAAATAATCAGCCTAAGTATACTCTGTAGAGCAACTACGGCTACTTAGCTATATTTTATTTAGCAAAACTATCCAGGCTACTCCCATAAAGCTGAAAGCAGAAGAAACTAAAAGAGTAAGCAATATCAGTATCTTACCTCATGGCCGCAGTAGACTCGAGTTGGTTTTGGCAATGACCCCAGTGTAACACAGAGCGATTGATACATCTGCTCTGCTGTGCCTTCGAAAAATTTTCCACACCCAGCAATGAACTGCATTTGAAGATATGCATATTTGATTTAAAATGAATGCACAACTTGTCAGAACTTTAAAAAAAAAGACCTTGCTCCAGCCACAAGACAACAACGGCAATAATGCCATAGTGTAGACACGTTAAGAAATAAGGTCAACAAAGCACACAGCCCCCACGAAAACTCTGCTTGAAGCAGCAACCACATCTAAATAATCTTAAAAATTATCTCCTAAGTTCTAGAAACACGTTTCGCACCTCCTATATCTTGCTTTTCGAGTTACGTGACTAATTGGTGGATAAAACAACATGATTTAACACTAGTGCAAGTAATGAGACGAACTATCAACTCACCAGTGTGTCGCCTGTGAAAACAGCAGGATCTTCGTCCCCTTTCCCAGTCACATAGTAACTTATATGCCCTCTGGTATGGCTGGCAACAGCATATAGAGAAATTAAAGAAATGGGGACAAGAGCACCGAGCTCCAACACAAAGTTTGTATCTCCCTTTCATAGGTAAGTGATTCAACGCGAAACAAGAAATTGTCATGAAATGATACGTCAGAGTATGGTTGGAAGACCAGCTAATCTTCCCATGAGCATCAACAGATAGATGCTCCTTATTTTAGGGGGAAAAAGGCCCCAAGATAAGAATGATAATGACATCATTAGATACCCAACATCCTAAGGAATGGCTTACTTTTTACCGAGCATAACAAGGAGTCAAAATGCAGTGGCTACATATCACATCCAGAAGTCGAAATAAAAAACTTAATACATGTAATAACACAAAAATCATCAACTTCCAAGATCAAAGGAGAAGCGAAAGCTCATCTTAATGGATGGAGCACTCGACAGAATCCAAAATGCAGAGCACTCTTACAGAATGGTATACCAGACAAGCTATTCAAATGCAGAGGGACTTCATTGTCCCTATTTATCGGAAGTATAAGTCTGCCAATATATTTCCACAGCAAGTGATGATTTAGGCATGAAGAGATTGAAAAACAATACCAAGGAGTGTGAAGACATAGTATGTTGGTATCCTTCCCAAGAGACAACTTCTCGCCATTTTCCACTTTATCAGTGCAAGCCTTCACATTGTCTATCGAACCGCCATACACCTTAATCCCAGGTATCAACTGCTTGATCTTCTCATTCCCCCCAGCATGGTCCCTAGCAGAATCAATACGCGCAAGTCGACCCGTTAGGTTACGAAATCAGCTGAACAAGAGGACCTCGACATTACTTCCTTCATTTCGCATAACGAGTTTGTCGCGACCGAAAACGAGGCAACAAATTATTTCAAAAAGAGCATCTTTCATCCACAAAAACACATCAACCATCAGTGAATTCTTCATCTCTGCCGAGATGTGTCAAACCGACGAGGCAACAGTAGAGTAGACAGTGTATTGACCTTCTATCCAATTCTAATCATGTCTAGCACAGACAAAACCAAGAACAATCGATGCATTCGCGAGCAAGATAATTTCATCGAGCGAAGCGAATTTCAGTCCCGTTCGGCCGACGCCGCGATAATCCAAAATCCGATTCGACGTTCATCGGAAACCCTCGCGACCGACCGACTGACCAGTGATGGTGAGTGGTGAGCACGAGCTTCAAGTCAACGCCGTGCTCCCGAGCTGCTTTCACGACCTTCTCCGGCTCCGCGGGGTCCACGGCCGCCGCCTCTCCGGTGCTCTCGTCGATGATACTGCCGATTCCGATCCACGAAGCGACCGGAAAACAAGAAAGGCGAAGAGCAATTAGGAAGGGGCGGGGGAAGGATCACCGGAGAAGAAACGGCGAGGGAAAATCCGATCGTGGCGGGAGGGGGTTGATTACAGGTAAGCGTAGTTGTCGTCCAAGCAAGGTACGTGGTGGATCTTCATGGCGGGAGGGAGCTTCTCTCGATCGGAATCGCTTGCTTGCTGTGGCGGCGCCGCCGTGAGTCAGGACGCTAGAAGAAGCATCTCGACATCATCATCATCTTTGGTTCTCCCGTTCGGCCGCAGGTGATGATGCTCGGGAGAAAATATTGGCTTGGACCGTCTTGCCCCCACGTCGTTGAGACAGTCCACCCAAAATTCGACACGTGATCTTCGAGACCCACCATGAGAAATTTTCAACAATTCAACTCCCCTCTCTCTCTCTCTCTCTCTCTCCGTCCGTTTCTTCGTAATTCGAAAAAGAAATAACGGTACAAACAGTTTCTGAATTTTAGCTCAATATATAATTTGATCCATGAACTTTTAATTTATTCAATATAATTCATGAACTTTAGCTTAATATTTAATGTGATCCTTGCACTTTTAATTTATTTAATGTGATCTCTGGGCTTTTAGTATATATTCAATTTAGTCCATGAATTATATGAAAATATGTATCAAAAATTCAGAGACCATATTGAACAAATTAAAAATTCAGGAACCATATTAAATATTAGGCTAAAATTCATGGACTATATTGAATAAATTAAAAATTTAGAGATCAAATTACATATTTTGCCAAAATTCAGAGACTGTCGATGTCATTATCCCTTCGAGAAAATATTGGCTAAGCCTCTCTCGTCTCCTCTCTCCTCTCTCTCGTCTTCTTCGTTCTTTCCGTTTCATCAGAAAGAAGACATTTTCTTTCTCCAGCAAAGCGAAGGCTTTCAAATTGTTTTGAAATCACGATTTCGCTCTCAAATTTCGCTCTCGTCGGCGTTCCTGGTTGTTCCGACGCTCGCTCCGTCGCTTCGCGTTGTTGCTGCTTTGGGCACTCCTTGCTCCCCGCCATCGCCGACGAAGCAAAGGTTGTGTCCCTTGTCGTCATCGATACTCAGTGACAAAAAACAAAAAAGCCCCCGGCCCCTCGCTGGACCCTAGCTTGAACGTGAATCGTTCCCTTGGCTTTTGTAGGTTCTGCGAACATCAGAGTGGGCCTCGCTCAGGCAGGACGCGCCTTTCACCGTCCCTCATTGCATCGCCCAGTACACCAGCCAGGTGCCCAAGCAAAACGTGCAAGATCAGGTCCAACGATGTTCGTGACGTTCTTTTTTTCTCTTTTGTTTAGGTTTTTACGTATGTGTTTGGTTTTGGCGTTGCGGGGTTGATGGTTTGTGTTGAGCTGCGTCTTTTGAATTCGTTGGGTTTCCTTCCGCTTTTGTTGTTGTCTTGGGAGATTTTTAGATGCTCAATTCTCAAGTCCCTCGCTCGACCCTGGCACGCACGAGTCATTGTTTCTTGACGTATTTGTTTTCAGTACATTCCAACGGCTGTTACTACGTCCTTGGTGTTGCATAGCTTGGTAATCCTTGTGGCTTGCGCCTATTCATTTGGAGTTACATACACAATTGTTAGTTGCTAGTGTCAAGCATGGATCAATGAGAACTTGAACATGAAGAGTGCGAGCGAATCGGGTAAATTGAAATAAAAAGACATCTGACAAACGTATATCAGTGAGACCTTGAAGTCATAGAACCTAGTTGAGGTTGTTTGGCTGAAATTTGTTGCAAATTGTAATGTTTATTGTTAATGGTTTATCATTTATAGATGTGGGAGTAGCCATAGATCCCATGGAAGCATTTTGTTACGGTCTAAGACTAATGAGGTTGTTTTTTTTTTTTTTTTTGGTTTCTGATTTTCCTTTTTTTGGGGCTTAAACGATAAATTCATGTCTGTTCACACGTGTTTGATGGATTCGATTGGCTTGGCTGGTATGTGAAGTGGGGTGCTTTGGTTATGTGCTGCAGATTGTGCAGAGGACATCCATGGGTGATGAATCCATGTCTACTAGAAAATCGTGTCCTGACTTTTGTTGAATTCATGTCTTCATTTGGAGTCACCTTCTCAAAACTTACCGTGTTTTTTCCTGGTTTGATGCATCTGATGGACCATCAAGCTGTGATGAATTCATGTCTACTAGAAAATCGTATCCTTATTTTTTGTACCTTTTTTTCTTCTTCTTTCTGGCTGTTTTTGCTGGAGTTTTAATTTCTTTTATTGGTGGGTAATTGCACAGGCTTGGCTATTGAATCGGCAGTTTTGCCCGTGAGTGTTCGGTGTTGTGATTTTTGGGAGGCTTGGTTTGTCCAAGGATGCTCGATATATTTCATATGAGCTTGCATTTCATCTCCTCTTGCCATTTCAGTGATGAAGTGCTTGCTTGTTTGGATGTCCATTTAAGGATGTGTATTTGAATGGCCCTTGCTGTCTTTTACATGTATTGTTTTGAAGTCTACATTTTCTAAGACAGGCCTAGCCTATATTTTCTTGACTTTCACAGTCGGGGTGCTGCCACTCGAGAAATGAGGACACGTGCCGTCCTAGGCATGCCCACTTGGCAAAACCCGATTCGGTCCAAACCAATCAAGCACAGATCTTACCCAAAACCCAAGCTAATTAGGAATTAGGATGATTGATTATAGGTCTAGAACCTACCATGTTATAATAAATTCTCAGTTTTCTGAGACTAGAATCTATCGTATTTTTCTTGAAACCGATCATGAAACTTATGATGTTATCTGGTCTAGTTATAGGATCTACCCAAGAATTTTTTTTTTTTTAGGGAAATGCTTGACTTTAATTCCGTCATCTTCAAAAGGGGTAAACCAATTCACTTTTGACATTTTGACTTTCGGGGTACAACTATACAATTTAAAGTGGGATTTCAAAAAAAAAAATTGAAGTAAAACTAGGAATCATCAAGACAAATTAACTTGCATCCTGGGGAAAGCAAAACAAAATGATCTTCCAATGACAAGTGCAGCTATGGAGACTCGTATAAGAGTTTCGATAAAATGAATCCACCGTGAGTAAAGTGAAATCTACATCGCATTTAGAACCCAGCCAGTCGACTTCATAGATAAGTGTAGTAAGTGATTCTACTGTAAAGAGGCAACAAGAAGTTCATTATATTTTACGGTTTTTACCTCTAGATGATTGTTGTCCGAGCAAGCGAGGATTTCAAATGAGCGAGGAGCTAAGGGTAAGTGGGGAATGAGCGAGGGTTGCGAGACTCGAATGAGGGATAGCGAGCTACAAGAGAGCGAGGAGGAGGAGGATAACTTGAGAGAGAGAGAGAGAGAGAGAGAGAGAGAGAGAGAGAGAGAGAGAGCCGTGAAGTTTCTGAGTAAGGTAGAAGTCTTGAAGAGAACAGAGAAAGAGAGATAGAGAAAAAGAGCCAATAGAAAATCAGGATTTTTAGGTTTTATGAAACCGTTTCCAAAATCAGTTTGGTTATGGATGGTTTTTCACTTGGAATCGGACCAGTTCCAACAAGAACTCAGAACTGGACCAGTTTTCAAGGTAGTATGTTCCGCTAATAAGCTTATCCGACTTAACCCTCATTTGAAATGATTTGGACCTGACAAAATCAGAACATGGCACCCATGCGAGCAAGGCCCGACTCGAAATCGAAGAAGCTGAATCCTAAATGGATGCAAACCCGACATGGCACCGGAGCCCTACAAAACCTAAACGAAACTCCCCAAGTCAGCACGACCCGCACGCAATTACGACCAAGAGTCGAATTTCAACTAAAATCGAGACTGATCCTACCCGCTTGTTCGCCACCTCCACAGAAATCGAAATAGACACGTGTTAAATTATCCGAGATTTGTAAAGACCCGACCCGATTTCGAAAAATGAGCCAAACCCCAAAAAAAAGCCCCGAAACACGACCGGAGCTTGCGGACAAATTTTACACGCAAGGGTCGGAAATGACCCGGATCCGTATATGGCCCGGGTCAAAATTGTCGGCCCAAACTAATCCGACCCGCGGGTCAAAATCGGACCGTTCAACGGGGGGCGGTTGGGCCCGGCTTTGGGCTCAAGAAACCGAGAACTACGTGAGCCGTGAGCTCACCAAGATGCGCGTCCAAGTCCACGCGGACACGCCTATATAAAGCATCCCCGCTAGGGTTTCTTCGGTTTTCATCTTCTTCTTCTTCGCAGCGCCATTCTCTTGCAGAACGATCGGTGCGAGGTCGCCATGGGGAGAAGTACGTCTCTCTCTCCTTCGCTCTCTCTCTCTCTCGCTCTTTCGTTTTGCTTTCTCGTTTGGTTGAAGGCGTTGTCGTCTGGAAGCTGCTCCGTGTTGCGAACGCATCGGTTTTTCGCGTAGCCGATGCGGAATTCCCTCTGGTCGATTCGTTGTTGCGCTCGGTTCCATTTCTGATGTTTGCTCGCGATCTTTGTGTGTGTGTGTGTGTGTGGGGGGGGGGGGGGAGCGAGAGGTCGATTTGATTTTTTCCGCCCTCCGGTTCGTCGGCTTGAAATTTCGGCGTTCAAATGAGCATGCGAGGGCGGGTTAATGATTTCCGTGCGAACTGTTGCGTGAGCGGAATTGAATGGGTAGCTCGTCGGGGTCGAAAGGAGGGAAAGAGGACGTAAAGAGATGTTTTTTCTTCTTTCTTTTCATTTTCTGCTCTTGCGTATTGTCTGCATCTGCATCCTGTGCGCTAGGATATCAGTTTTCTTCGTAGAGTTGTGGGATATGGCATTTAGTATTGGGCTTCTTGGTTTGACTTGATCCCGTGCTTCTGATTTCGTGGATGTTTGTTCGCGGAAAGAAAAGAAAATGTTACAAATTGCCTGTGGTACGTGCACCCTTTTGCATTGTTGTTGCTTCAGCTGCTCGTTTTTTTCCCGCAAGAGATATCCGTGCGTTTTAGATTAGGCCATGGCGTGTGTCGAGCGCATCTTCTATTCCATCTGTTCGATGGGGACTGTATTGTGAAGGTTCCGACTTCCGGATTTAGTTAATCTGATTTGATTCTGTGGTTATCATAGGACCGGCAAGGTGTTATCGGCAGATCAAGAACAAGCCGTACCCGAAATCACGGTACTGCCGTGGTGTTCCTGATCCTAAGATCAGAATCTATGATGTTGGAATGAAAAAGAAGGGTGTGGATGAGTTCCCCTTCTGTGTTCACTTGGTGAGTTGGGAGAAGGAGAATGTTTCGAGTGAGGCCCTGGAAGCAGCTAGGATTGCTTGCAATAAGTACATGGCCAAATTTGCTGGAAAGGATGCTTTCCATTTGAGAGTGAGGGTCCACCCCTTCCATGTTCTCCGTATTAACAAGATGCTTTCCTGCGCTGGGGCTGATAGGCTCCAGACTGGTATGAGGGGTGCTTTTGGAAAGCCACAGGGTACATGTGCTCGGGTTGCCATCGGTCAGGTCCTGCTCTCAGTCCGGTGCAAGGACAGCAACAGCCACCATGCCCAGGAGGCCCTTCGCCGTGCCAAGTTCAAGTTCCCTGGCCGTCAAAAGATCATTGTCAGCAGGAAGTGGTATGTGTTTTGACCTTTTGGCCTGTCTTGTAGCTAGAGTCTTTAATTGCATGCATGTCAATGAATGTAACTTGATAGTTAAAGGTCATGGCTGTAGCAATGGAAATTTTATACTTGGTTTCTTTCTGAGTATTAAAGCTCTGTTTCCAAAGGTAGACTCATAAGCCCCTTTATTCATCTCTTGTCTGGCTCTTTTCATCCTTGCTCCACGCGTATGACTTCCGAAATAACACTAGATGTGATGGTCCTTTAATTCTAACGTCCTGAAACCTGACTATGGAAACATTATTCTCTGTTGCTGTTTGTCTGCATTACCCTGGCCGTCCTTTGGAAAATAGAAACTTTTTAAGTAGTTTTTTCTCTCTCCCTTTTTATGGTGAATCATTTGTAATTATTTTTTATGATTAGACTATAAATTTTGTTTTGGAATTTTGTAACAGGGGATTTACCAAGTTCAGCCGTGCTGACTATTTGAGGTGGAAGGGAGAGAACAGAATTGTTCCAGATGGTGTGAATGCCAAGGTGAGTATGCTTGTGTTTGAATATCTTTTTTAAAACTTGTTAGACATTCTTATCTCTTCATTAGATGAGAGTTTTGTTCCTCCGGGGTCCAAGGGTAGGCTTCTCGATGCTTTAAAAGTGATGTCATGTTACTGAGGTTTCTTCACTTTATAAGGAAGAGGTGTATTATTTCTTAAACGGAGGCAATAATTTGAGGGATAGTTTTCATATTTAGTCATGTTTTGTATCCAAACCATCCCTAATACTTTCTTTGCTTTAGACACTGGTTATTCTGGGTTTGAGATGTTTCGAGTCTAACTGGCCTGTTCTTGACGCAAAATACATGGTTTTATGCACCATTGAATTCTGATTGATGACTTACGAGTTCATGATTGGCGTCTATTGCAGCTCCTTGGATGTCATGGACCTCTGGCGAATCGTCGACCTGGAAGAGCTTTCTTGGATGCAACTACTTAGGACATCTGGTGTCTAACTAGAATATTTCTGGATTTTGTATTCGGAACTTGTCCGTCTTACTATCATCTGTTGTTTTCTCTCAGTATTCAGAGTTGGATTGGGCTTATTATCCTGAAGTTTATGCACATTATATTTGACTTTCATTTTCTTGGATTACTCTGCATCAATAACTCCAGCATTTTATATACATCCAGTTCGGTCAGTGATGCTTGCTGCAAGTGTCTTTGTAGTTTGTTATGCAATGGTTGTGTCGGGTTTATACTTACATGTTACTTGGTGGCAATTGTGGGATCTGAGTCTGCGTATTTGTGTCCTCTGTTTTGACAATCAGAGTGTTTGCACGTGGTCCTTCCTCTGTTTTTGGTCTTTCTACCTACTTAGGACCTTTCCGCTGATTTCATTCAATTCGGTCTTTCTACCTATTTAGAGGGCCTTTTCCCGTACTTATTTTGATTCTTTTTTCGAGTATTAATGGGAAAATCACTTGGTTGGTTGATCAATGAGTCATGTTTACTGAAACTTTTATCTCTACAGATAGAACCAAATTTTTCCATGCGTTTCACATTGCGCTGAATGTGCCAGATAAGGTTCAGGTCATGTGGGATATTGAGAACCGATTTTTCGCTTCTAAGTTTAGGAAAAGTTTTCTTTCCCTTCTTTGCACTCTGTTAAACAAGCGTCAGCACATCCTTCCCCGAGTTTCTTCTTTTGTGTAATGGCAGTACGAGCAGTGAGTATTGCCTCTTTTCCAACCGGGAAAGCCGAAATTGCCCTGACCTTTTGCAACCTTAGGTTATGTGCTGCAATACAATCATACATGATTATGAGGGACTTACCAATAGGATCTGGTTGCCGTTCCAAGTGCAGACGTCAGTGGCAGAAGTGCCTATGTCTGGTTTTCTTTGCTGAGATGAGATGAGAGATCTCAAGATCAATGACTGCTGTTCCAACTTATCAGTTACGAAATACCTATGTTGGACGGGGCCTGACGGAGCGGCTGAGTTCATACTAGTTTCGTTTCTTTTTTTTTCTGTAGGGTCACACTTTGCAAGCTTTAAAAATGTTCACCTCAGATGGCTTGATACAAGCCGGGCGAAAGCTCTTTCTGCCATTCGGGTCGATGTTCTCCTGTGTAGAACAAACAAACGGATCGAATCGCAAATTTGAACGTTAACATCGGTGGATGTTTGGTTGCTTTTTGTGAAATGAGATTGGCTTTTGGCTACCACATTTGATAGAAGACGCTCAACTAAGACTCTCTGTGAATTGAAAAGGAAGTCACCAGGGGGTTGGCTTTGCCTGAATTGACGTCAATTGAGCGCCCGTTTTCATTAAATTCGATGCCAAACTTAATCAACTGCCAACTAACTCCACGGCGCTTTTGTGACTGAAAATGCATTGCTTGCACTGTCGGTCCGACAAACATCTCTGTCGCTCTGCCTCTCTCACTCATGCCCACTGTACGCGCTCGTGTGCACCTTCCGTCGGATTTCATTGGGGGGGTTTGCGACCAATTGAGAAAACTTTGTAATTCGTAATCAACCGACCCTTCCCATTTCATGATATTGTGAGAATCGAATCATTCCAATATTCAAGATCACTCGGTGATGAGATCCATTTCCCACCTTCACAGATCTCGTCTCATGCTCGAAATTGAGTAGCCATGGTTCTCGAATCTTGTCCGGACACGGGCGACGACAGAATAGACTCCTCCAATTACTATAATCGAGTGAAGAGAGCACGGACAGAACTTTGTGCTTCTCAGCCGTGCGCGACTTCTTCACCTCACTATGTCACCTTGGTGTTCTATCTCATTAATGTGGTACGGCTCATTAATTTGTGTTCTCATTGACCAGGCATGGGCGCTCTATCTGTCCCAAGAAGCTTTACCCGTCTTCATTAATTGAAGTACGAATCTTCACCGCTGAGTCGAACGAACCAGTTGCTTCATTGAGACGATCGCAATCGAACGTACGAGCGAAGGTGGTACAGAGAGAACAGAGGGTTAAGTTTTCTTAGTTTCAATCGATGATCTAGGCTGGAAAGATGAAAGTGAGAAGGACCCTACCACGTGAATTTCAAAGAGGTGGGCTTTTCTTCTTCTTTATGCACAAGGCCATGATGGTGTTGATTCTCAAGACTGAAGTCAAACCAATTTATCATGCATAAATCACTCACCTTTCACAGCAGCTTTGAACTAGATGGTCCCTTTTTTAGGGGGGAATTTTTTGAAATTTGCCATAATTACGAGGACCAAAAAAGAAAAAAAGTGCCTCTCTTGCATCGTGGGGTTGCTGTTCATCATCTCGATCCGACGGCCCCGACAGCTTTTTGGCCTAGCTATGTGAATTAAATTTTTTTTTTGGGCCAACCGTTACGTGAATTATTAGAAGCCCCTTTTTCTTGGTGAGTAATTATTACATGCTTTTTATCTCCTGTGTCGCTCGCCTTGTGGAAATTATTTTCGCATATAAAAAAAAAATCAAACGATCAGTCCTTTTTTTCTTTATCAGCAGCGCAGAATAAAGATTGAATATTTAATTACATGTAAGATAAATCATACCTTTCCACATAATTGCGATTGATTGTGCTTCTTTTTTTTTTTTCGTGCATGCCAGTAGATTATATATGTAAGTTTGGTGAAGTTTTTAGGTAAATGATATTGGCTTTTATATAAGATATGAATGAATAGCCGGGCACACAATTACACACAGTGTTAAGCAAATAAGTTCGCGTAAATTAAACGATGGACACTTTTTTTCCGAAATTATCGGGCTCCTTGGCCTCCTAAATCGTTTTATTAGTGCCATTAAATCACGACTATCCCCGGCTTCATGTAACTAGTTGCCTTTTTCGAGATTTGAACTAAAGACCATGCTTCTCGAAACAATAGTCGAAGTATGATTTCTAATCAATTCATAAAATCGACATTCTACCTAGAGTTACCTAATAAACACATGTCAAAGTTTATTAGTGACTATAGATTCGGACAAATTCAACCATCTCACCTTGGGATCCATGTTTTTAGGAATTCTTTAGTGAGAAGTACTTGCTAAAATTTTGAATATCCCTTGATATTTGACCAATTAAATTTAGCAAAAAGGTTAATACCACGAAAAACTCCAAACTGGTACATCTATAACAATTTTACCTCGAACTAAATTTTTTTTTTTTGGTAAAGGTAAGAATATGTATTACTTTTCAAAACCCGAACTAATTTTTTTACCACCAAAAACCCAAAACTGGTACACCTGTGACAAATTTATCCAGAACAATTTTTTTGACCACTAAAAACCCCAAACTAATACATTTGTAATAAATTTACCCTCCATTAGTGTCTATTAAATTAGATTAATATAACGAAAAATCGCAAATTGATAAACTTGTGGCAAGCAGAGGGATAAAACCCTAAACTGGTATACCTGTCATCTATCACGTGTCATCAAACTTAGCAATTTGACAGTAAAATTTAACGAAAACTAACTGAGGATAAATTTATCACATGCGTATCAGTTTGGGGTAAAATTGTCACAGGTGTACCAATGTTGGGTTTTTGGTAGTCAAAAAAATAGTTCTGAATTAAATTATCACAAAGTATATTAATTTGAGATTTTTTATAGTAAAAAAATAATTTGAAATAAAATTGTCATGTGCCGGATTTTTCGTAATGTTAATCGTTAGCAAAATGAGTCCACTTTTCAGCCGTATGTATATGTGTGTATATACAGATAAAGATAAAGAGTAGTGTCACATCGTTCTGCCTGCAGATGCGCTCTTTCCCACTCAAAATCTACAGTGTCACACTCTGCCTCTTTTTATCTCTCCTCACCCCATTTGTGTGTCTCAGAAGAAGGAAAGAAACAAAAAAAGAAGTAAAATTTACTGAAGAAGAAGAAGAATCATGCAAGGCACCCATACTGTCAAGCATTTTGTTGAAAGAAAACCCAAGAACTGCACCTTGAGGAGTTCTTGATTGTTCTCTCCTACTTGATCTGAGTCTCAAACTGACTATCTTCTCATTATGTCCTACAGGCAGGTACCCACGCTCCCAACCCCCTCATGATGATGATGATGTGTTAATATGATTGTTGCTGTAATTTCACTAAAGCACTACCCTCTCTCTCTCTCTCTCAAGACCTTCTGTTTATGCAAGCCTGGACTTTTCTTCATTTACCCTCGTTGTCTTCTTCCTCTTCTTTCTTTTTTTTTTGGGCTTACTGGTATTGTTTCTCAATGAAAGTAGTAGATGCCATACATGCATATCTAGACTAGAGAGGTGAGAATCCTCTGCTTTTTTATTTGTCCAATGTGTGTTGATATTGAGCTAGTGCGATCCATTTGTCTAAATATTGTGAGATAAAGCGGGGGCCTTTTGTTTTACCAAAGTGTGCTTCTCCTTTATCAGAACAAAAGATAGCATTTGCTTTTCCTCTGAGGTGGCTTTTCTCTCTTGGATTCTTTCCAGTCTCTTGCTTTTTGTAATTTGGGTGACTTTCTGGGCATGCGTATTTTAAATGTCTGGTGTCTCTTGGGAATAATTTGCCATAAAGATTTTTCGGGTCTGCTTTCCCAATGTCAAAAAAGCCAGATAAAGAATGACCTCCTTAAGGAATTCAAAATGGGACTGTGAGTGCATCTTATCTGCTTCTTTGTTTTGGTAACACTCAAAAGTCCAGAGACAACGTGATGTTGAATTGCGAGAAGTTATCTCAAAATAGATGATGCCTTGAATTATAGTGGTCTGGGGTTGATTTCTGGAATTCACTGATGAGGCTTTTTCTGAATGCTGTTTCATTTTTTTTTATCAGCTGAGCAGGGAAGGAGCGTTTGAGTTCAATTCAGATTTTTTAATCACTCTCTCTTGAGTACTTCATGAAGCTTCTTCGAGCAGCCATTCCCACGACCTCATTGCTTTTCTGTGTACTTATTCTCATCCCCTTAGTTGTTGCTGATCTGAATTCTGATATTCAAGCACTCCTTGATTTCGCTTCGGCCGTCCCACATGCCCGGAAACTGAATTGGAGCGCTTCTATTCCAATTTGCAGTTCTTGGGTAGGCATAACTTGCAATGTAGATAAAACCCGGGTGACAGCGGTCCGTCTTCCCGCTGTTGGTCTTTATGGCTCACTGCCTTCAAACACTTTAGGAAAGCTTGATGCTCTTCAGGTCTTGAGCCTCCGTTCGAATTATTTAACCGGCAATCTTCCTTCTGATGTTGCTTCCATTCCTTCCCTCCAATACTTATTCCTCCAGCATAATAACTTTTCTGGCTCTCTCCCGATCTCTTTGTCATCACAGCTCAATGTATTGGATTTGTCCTTCAACTCGTTTAGCAGCGTCATCCCGCTATCCATTCAGAAGCTCACTAGGCTTGCTACATTTTACCTTCAAAATAATTCCATTTCTGGTACAATTCCTGACCTTAACCTTCCCAAACTCAAACTTTTGAATCTGAGCTATAACAACTTGTCGGGCTCCATCCCGAATTCTCTCGAAAAATTTCCCAATTCTTCATTCGTTGGGAACTCTCTTTTGTGCGGACAACCTCTTAGCCAATGCTCCACTCTTTTAACCTCTCCTTCTCCTTCCCCTGCATACTCAGAACAGCCAAAGATAGGTCCTCTAGTTCAAAAAGTTGCTTCGAAAAAGAAACTTGGGTCAGGTGCTATTGTTGCTTTAGTTATTGGGGGTTTTGCGGTGCTTTTCCTCCTCATGGTAGTTGCCCTTGTCTGCTACTCGAAGAGAAAAGATGGTAGTAATGTACTGAAAGTGAAGGGAACTAATGGCGCTAGTCAAAATCCAAAGGACTTTGGAAGTGGGGTGCAAGAACCAGAGAAGAACAAGCTGGTTTTCTTTGATGGGTGTTCTTACAACTTTGATCTTGAGGACTTATTGAGGGCTTCGGCTGAAGTTCTTGGTAAGGGGAGTTATGGAACAGCTTATAAAGCTCTTCTGGAGGATGGGACGACCCTGGTGGTGAAACGGCTGAGGGAAGTTGTGGCTGGCAAAAAGGAGTTTGAACAACAAATGGAGCTTGTGGGGAAGGTGGGACGACATGCCAATGTCGTGCCACTTCGTGCATATTACTATTCAAAGGATGAGAAGCTCTTGGTTTACGATTACATGCCTTTTGGGAGCTTGTTTGTACATTTGCATGGTATGTGTTTCCTCTACCATCTGGTAGAACATTCTGATCTAGTACTTTTTTCGTTGATGCAAGGAGACATCTTAGTTTCGTTTTCCCTTTACCTAGACTTCACAAAAGAAAACTCATATGCTTAATCTGTGCACAATACTGAACAATTCCTTTGTCCATGATTTGACCTATGAAACTACAGGTATGTAAAAATTGAAGGAATGGATGTTGTGTCATTTCTTCATGTAGAATACAGTATAACTAGGCTCTGCTATCTCATTAGCTAAAGATTAAATGTCGAGTTCCTTAAAAAAGGCTTGCAGATCTCACCTTCATGATGTGGCTTCAATTAGGAGAAAAAATTGCCAACTTCTATGGGTTACCACCTAGTCAATGAGGAAGTTATACTTTACAGAGGCCATAAGAAGGGCTAAACTGCGATAGACAAGCTATAACTTTTATAAGTTAAGAAAAAATAAGTTTGAGCTTGCTTCAGAAGAACGCTTACTGCTCTTATTCTAAGTTATCTCATGAATCTATTTCTTTGCTCTTCTGTGTCCATGCCTTTTAGGAGATAAAGGTTCTGGAAGGGCACCATTAGATTGGGATTCTAGAATGAAGATCTCCCTTGGAACAGCCAAAGCAATTGCTCACATACATTCTGAGCCTGGAGCTAAGTGTGTTCATGGAAACATCAAGTCCTTGAATGTCTTCCTCACCCAAGATCACGATGGTTGTGTTTCGGATGTTGGACTGACTCCTCTCATGAATTTCTCTGCAATTACTCCCCGAGTCATTGGATACTATGCTCCGGAGGTGATTGAATCAAGGAAAGTTACTCAGAAATCTGATGTTTACAGCTTTGGTGTGCTCCTTCTTGAAATGTTAACAGGTAGACTTTAATTCAGTTTCAAATTTCAAACCATTTAATTGGTTCGGTTTGGAAATTAATTATTTGATAAAATATGAAACAGAAAAGGTACCTTTGTATAAATTATTAATTTGCTTAGGTGCATTTTTGTTTTGTTTTGTTTTGAACATTTGGTTCAAGGTTAAGATGTCTACAATCGTGATATGTGATCCATGGTAAGTGCTTCTTTTCAGCCCAGATAGAGTACTGAGTTTTTCAAACACCACTTGCTTTTAATTCAAAGATTAGTGATACTCACAGCTCATTATTTAGTGGCCATCTAGAATGAGGAACAAGTATTACAAGTGTATCTGTCTTTCACTAATTTTGTTTGTCCAAAACCAATGAAATTGAAGCTGATATTTGTGGTTCGTTTCAACTCGATTTGATTCTTGTTTTTAAGGTATTGTTTGGACAATGGGCAGGTAAAACCCCTCTCAAGCATCCGGGACACGATGACGTCGTTGATCTCCCCAGGTGGGTCCGGTCGGTAGTTCGAGAGGAATGGACAGCTGAGGTCTTTGATGTCGAGCTGCTGAAGTACGAGAATGTGGAGGAGGAGATGGTGCAGATGCTGCAAATTGCTCTCACATGTGTTGCAAAGGTGCCTGATACGCGCCCCAAGATGGACGAAGTTGTCAAGATGATCGAGGAAGTTCGGGAACCGGAGGTAAAGGATCGGCCTTCTTCTGGAGCCGAATCCAATGTGCAAACCCCGTAATAATAGATTTTAGATATTCCTTTTTCCTTCATGGAGTCGAGCTGCAGTATCTAAGAGAACAATTTGCTCTCTTGTAAGCTGTGATCTATATGTATGCTTTACTCTGTAGTTGAATTCTGCATGGCTTTTTATCCATTCTAGTGAAAGTGCTAGTCTGTTTTATCTATTTCCCACCTCCAATTGCACTGTGGCAAAGAATTGGCTTACAAGCTTCCATTATGCTCTTGAGATTCGTTCGGCGTTTGTTGCCTGGAAATCCGTTTCACATTTTGGCTCATTGTTAAGACATTATGATTTGCATCTTAGGCAGTAGAGATTGTATAAAAAAGTGAGCTGAGGGTGCCTTTTAGCATCTGGTTTTGCGTGTGAGCGAAAGAGCTCAACTTGATTTACATCAGATTGGATTAGCTGTTAAAAGAGCTAGCCAGAAGTAGTCAATTGCCCTCACTATAAAACAGCTCACCTTGATGAAAGCCAATATTGAAATCTGTCTGCATTTTCTTACTTAATTTTGAACTTGTCTTTCACTGCTTCGACATTGACTTTAATTGTACTTTTCTTGTTGCCTCAAAAGTAAGCCCAGGAAAAAAAAATTTACTCTCGCCAGAGTGAGATACAGTGGCTTGGTCCTTGTAAGGGTGAGAAAAAAAAACAGGCATTGAGTGACAAAGCCAAGATGGTCTTCTTCGAGACTATTGGCCCTTTTCACCATCTGAACTTTGACATTCAGGATTTTTATATTATTTGAGAGAGAGAGAGAGAGAGAGAGAGAGAGAGAGAGAGAGATACAATGGCTTGGTCCTTATATTCATACGGAGGTGCTTTTTATTTTGAAGGCTTAAAGGGTGACAAAAGCTAAGAAACTACTTGTTTTGATTGCTCCATCTGCAAAAGCATCTAACAAACAGGCATTGTGTGACAAAACCAAGATGGTCTTCTTCAATACTATTGGCCCCTTTTACCATCTGAACTTTCACATTGAGGATTTTTTATATTATTTGATATATATATATATATATATATATAGAGAGAGAGAGAGAGAGAGAGAGAGAGAGAGAGAGAGAGAGAGAGAGAGATACAATGGTTTGGTCCTTATATTCATATGGAGGTGCTATTTTTTTGAAGGCTTTAAGGGTGAGAAAAACTATGAAACCACTCGTTTTGATTACTCCATCTGCAAAAGCATCAAGCAAACTGACATTGAGTGACAAAAACAAGATGGTCTTCTTCAAGACTATTGGCCCGTTTTACCATCTGAACTTTCACATTCGAGAGAGAGAGAGAGAGAGAGAGAGAGAGAGAGAGAGAGAGAGAGAGAGAGAGAGAGAGAGAGAGTTGCATGGGGTTTCACAAGGCAAAAGGAGAAACCAATAAGAAGCCAGAAGGTTGCAATTAGTTGGACACTTCCTCATAGATAAGAACTTCAAGCTGTAAAACCCTTTGTAATGACATAAACACCCGCTTACTGTGAGTAACCCAAATGGAAGAAGAAAACAGACGAAGGTATTGATAGACTTATGCAACCGAAGTCCTCCCAACGCTTCGAAGATATCCACCCAACACTTCCGAGAAAGTCGAAAGAAGATGCTTCCTTCGGATAATCCTAAAGCAGAACTTATCTTATACACGGCTTCCACTCAAATTGATAGGACCCTCCAAGCAATAACTTAAACAACTACGTTCCAAGAGACAGATGAAACGAAAGGTCCAAATCTATAGGACGAAATTAGGAAAAGCTCGAGAAAGGTGGTTCTTCCTTAGCTCAAACAGCAAGCTAAGCAAGTCAAATGGAGGCATTTTCCTCTTTGGAACGAACGGCTTTTCGAACTGGTCGTTAGTTACAATTAGCTTTTCTTGTGTAGCAGAGCAACATTACAAGACAAAGCGCGCGAGTATTGTTCCCCTATATTACATCCACACCCATTAAGAACAGAAACATCATCTCCCGCAGTCATCTTTCCACTAGGGGGTGTAGGAACATTTCAGCCATGGCAGATGCCAGCAAAGCCGTCTTCTCGGAGTTGGACAATGCCAAGACCCAACTCTATCATTTTAAGGCAATCATCATAGCGGGGATGGGGTTCTTTACCGATGCATATGACCTCTTCTGCATTACCGCAGTCACCAAGCTATTGGGCCGCTTATACTACTTCGACCCACACACTGGAAACCCCGGTGCTCTTCCAAAAAACATCTCTAACGCCATCCAAGGAGTCGCTCTATGTGGAACTTTAGCGGGCCAGCTCTTCTTCGGATGGCTCGGGGACAAACTCGGCCGCAAGAAGGTCTATGGCATAACCTTGGTCACCATGGTTGGATGCGCCTTGGCCTCGGGCCTGTCCTTTGGGTCCACCTCCCATAGCGTGATCAGCTGCCTATGCTTCTTCAGATTCTGGCTCGGTTTCGGCATCGGAGGGGACTATCCGCTCTCGGCTGTCATCATGTCCGAATACGCCAATCAGAAAACCCGAGGAGGGTTCATCGCGGCTGTTTTTGCAATGCAAGGTGTTGGGATTCTATTTGCAGGGGCGGTTGCGATGCTGGTCTCAAGGATATTCCTCGCAGCATTCCCTGCTGATCCATTCGATGTTGAACCTGTCTATTCCACTCAGCCGCAGGGTGACTTCGTTTGGCGGATTGTCCTAATGTTCGGGGCGGTCCCTGCCGCCTTGACCTACTATTGGCGGATGAAAATGCCCGAGACCGCGAGGTACACCGCCTTGGTCCAGGGAGACCACAAAAAGGCTGCATCTGACATGGCCAAAGTCCTGGAGAAAGACTTAGTAATCGACGAATCACGATACAACGCCAATCCCAACCTTCCTGTCACCCCTCAGCCTTCGTACGGACTATTCTCGAACGAGTTCTTCCGAAGGCATGGGCTCCACCTACTCGGGACCACGACCACCTGGTTCTTGCTGGACATCGCCTTTTACAGCCTCCAGCTTGCGCAAAAGGACATATACCCTGTTAGCGGCATCCTACACCGGCCAGGGACCATGAACGCGATCGAGGAGGTGTTCAAGTTATCAAAAGCAATGTTCATTATTGCCCTGGCGGCGACGGTCCCCGGGTACTGGTTCACGGTTTTCTTGATTGACAAGATCGGGCGGTTCCCCATCCAGCTCATCGGGTTCCTGGCGATGTCAATCTTCATGGCGGTCCTAGGAACCAGGTACCAGCACTTCAGGGGCGATAAGTGCCCCAAGGGCTCTCGCAAAGAGTACTGCGGGGGCCATCCGATGACCTTCATTGCCTTCTATGGACTCACCCTCTTCTTTGCCAACTTTGGACCCAACTCCACAACCTTCATAGTCCCAGCCGAGCTCTTCCCCGCAAGGTTCAGGTCGACCTGCCACGGAATCTCAGCAGCAGCAGGCAAAGCAGGAGCCATCATAGGAGCATTCTGGATTCAGACATACACGCAGAAGGACTCCGGGACTAAGAAAGCAATCATCGCACTCTCTGTTGTCAACCTACTGGGCTTCTTATTCACTTTCTTGGTGCCAGAGACAAAGGGCAGGTCCCTGGAGGAGATTTCCGGGGAGGATCAGAATCCTGGCGGGCGTCAGTATCAGGACCAGAATGGGAGCGACAAGACAAAGAGAGCTGGTGCTGATGTGGTTCCTGAGACACAGATGGTTTAGGCCTTGAGCTCCATGTGATTCTTAGAGTATTTGATTGTCTCTACTGCTACCTGAAGACTTTGTGGCAATAAATGTGGTTCCAGGATGAAAAAACATGTGATCTGTCATCATAAAGACTTAGCTGAAACACAAGTGTCTGTACTACTACTAATCAAGTTCAAGTGAAACTTCAAAATAATTCATGTTGGATCAGCTCGAACAAATCAGCCTTGCCGTTCTATGCGGATCACACACTGCATCAGTCCTGATGGTACAAGAAAGCCATTAGCTTTTCTTGGCCAAGGAGGACTGGTGCGTGCTATTTTTTGCACTGTTGGGCCTGTTCATGGGCTACTTTTGCAAAGCCGCAGGTTCTTGTTGGGCCACAAAACTTGCACATCATCTTGCCCCTTCAATTATTTACACCACATTGAGCTGGTGCGTCAGATAACCACACTAAGTGCGGTAGTTAATCACTAACCAAACACTAATTAATGGATTGTTTGAAATAAAGAATTACATGAACTGGTGAGTAAGAAAGGGCTTACTTTTGGTTAAGTGATTTAATATTCAATGGAGATTAAAATGATAAAATCGTATCGATTATATTATCAGAACATTTCTGTAGATGCTCCTTGTTCCCCGGGTTGAATAAGAAACTAATACCGTTTATGATTTAATTTTCATCTGTTTAACAACTCTTTATTCTTTTTTTCAGTACTTGAAATTCAACCCTCAATATTTAGCACTTATCATACATTTTCATAAAGAATAGCAAAAGCCCCTTACAAAAATGTATTCTTTCCAAACACCATTTAAACCAAAATTGATTCTCGATACACTTTTAAATTACGATTTATAAATTTACTAAACGCTATTTGCATTTCGAAAAAATCCCGTCAATCCGAAGTCCTTTTGCATTTTCCCAAAGACTTTCTCCCCAAAATCCAACCGAGCGCATCCTTAATCGCAGTGTCGGGTCACATTTATTTCGGAGCCAAAATGCATCTTTACATTAGTGTCGGTGTCGGATGTCACTATTCTTCTCGTGATTCTATTTCACGAAACCCTAGTATGGCGCTTTTTAAGGAGATGGAGGAGACTTTATCGAACAACATCATCTTAAAAAAAGAGAGCACCGTATCATCTTCAAACCAGTAATGGTACGTCAAGATCTTGAAAATGGAGAAGGGGGTTAACGAATGATCGATTAAACATATGAACGGAACTGCGTTTTCCTCAGATTTCCAAGAATGGGGGAGGGCCCACGTCACCGCGTTGTCCTCCCCCCTCACCGGGGGGTGGGGCCCCACCGCTTTCCCAATCCACGGCCCTCGGCGCGCCACGTGTTAAAGCACAGCTGGCAGCCGAACCGTTTGTCAACCACGAAACCTCTTTTTTCTTTTCTGCAGTATACCAAGTTTGACTTCCACCCCTCTCTCTCTCTCTCTCTGGCTTTGGCTTTTGGCTTTTTCAGGCCATACAATTCAGAGCGCCCCAAAGCTTAAGTTAAAGAAGGGGGCGTCGGTGTACTAACTATTTGCCAAATTGATGATTGGTACTGATCTCAGATTAGCTCTTTGGCTTCAAAATATCCCGAGCTGTTTTAAAATTCTGAAACACCCTTTTAGTCCTTCGGTATAAATTCGTCGAAAACACGATCATTGCCGTTCGTGGGTTCACGCTTATCTGCACCGGGATCTTCTTATCCAGAGCAAAAAATGGTCGTAGTCTCACATTCTAGACCGATTGCCTCTGATTATTAATAGGTGCTGTAAAATGTCTTTTTCTGGGAAGTGTGAAAATCAATACAGGAATCACCTATTTATTCATATCTCTCTCTCTCTCTCTCAGGGACTCGTGAATTGGGACCGGAAATGAATTGACCCCGTTAATCAAAACGCCGGCACAAGACGGATTTTCCAATTAAGAGAAACGTGTGAATTGTTAGTACAAAAAATGGAAAGTGCATACAAATTCACAATGGTTGAACTCCAATTCTTGCTCATCCTTCCGATAAGACATGTGTTCCGTTTCTTGGGTCAAGAAACCATCACGAAAGAGAGACACCCAAAACCAGAAAAACCAGAAAAAAGAAAAACTGAGGTTGACTTGGGGGGGCGATACAGAACAAGACTCGTCCGAACATCGAGATAACGGTCTCGCGAGGGCGAACGAGAATGTCCCCACAAAAAAAAAAGAAAATGCGCGTGCGCGAGCGGCGAACAGGTCAACACATGTTGGCCTCCGAACGCGACGGTGCCAGGCAGTCGCAGCCAACACGTAATCCGCCACCTCATCTGACGTGCTCCTCTTGAATATAAAGAAACTGGTATAATTCAGACCGCACTCCCATGCTCTGTCTCATCATCTGACTGTTGGGCCCATGATGCCCTGTCCCCGCCCGCCCCAATTCAATGCAACTTTATCAGACACCCCCCAACGACATCTTCTTCTCTTCTGCTCTCTTTAGCTGAGAGGGAGTGGATTTTGAGCTCTCCCGGTCAATGGGTTTGACTGGAAAAGGCTTCTTGAACACGGAAAAGAAGGCTCACTGTGGTTTCTTGAATTTCAAAATTGAGGAGAGAGAGAGAGAGAGAGGAAAAAGCAGTGAAGAAGCAAAGCAAGAAACAACAAATGTGGAAAATGAACAGATGGGTTCGTGTTCTTCGGGGCAAAGAGACGAAATTTCCGCCATTTTCTCTCTTCCCACTTTCTTTCCAGCGAGGTTCGTTTTGGTCTTCGCTTTCACACTTGGACCCCGCCCCTTCTTCTTTCATAGCATTTGGTTTGGATACTAGATAGAATTTGCATTCATTGCTGCTTCTCAATTTAGAATCTCCATCCTATTTTGCCTCCCTGGTTTTGTGTGAAGACAAAAGTCATTTGAAGAAGCAGAGGCTGTTTCGGATTCATTTTGGATCTTGCTCTGTTTTGATCTGCTCCAGTGGTATTATGTATGTCAGACAAAGTTATTCCTTTTTATTTGTTTTAGTTTTGTCGCCCCGTGTTCATTAATTTCTGCTTATTTTTACTCTCTTTCTGGGAATATTCCTCTATAGATGTGTTTCTGCTTTCTTTAAGGTTTGGCTGTATGGGCTTCGAATATTCTGGAACTGGGGTGGAGTAGATGTAGAACAATCCTTTTTTTTTTCCTGTTTGTGTTTGTGGATCTCTTCTACGCCGTCTTGGTGATAGTTAAGTTGTGGCATTTTTCTCGGTGGTTTCAGTTTTCGGTTTTAAGCATCTGAGTGGGCTGAAATTACATCGATTTCGTGTTTTTGCTGATCTCTGATGAATCCACATAGAATTTTATCTGAACCCTTTTTTGTCACCAAGACAAAATGCCTGGTTTCTTAGTCAATTCCTGGTATGCTATGGAGGCAGTTTGATGTACTGCACTCAGTAAATTGCTGAATAAGTTCTGATGGTTTTGGGGACATTGCTTGTTTGGGTTGTACTTGTGCATATACTTATGTGGAAGGTAGTTTGTTGGGCGTGCTTTTGCATTTGCAACAACTGAGCGATGCAAGTTCACAGGTTGAGATTATCGTTTCAATGTGTATTTCTAATAGATGCGCTTTCCTTTTTGTTTGCTTTCAGAACTGATGTTTCGTACCTTGTCGATTAGGATGCTTCTTGACTGAATCTTGGCCTTGATACTGTCCCCGCCAAATATTAGTCAAAGGAGTCTTATCTGAAAGAGATAAGAGCAAAAAATTTGGGGCAGAACATGACAGATAGTGCGGCTCCGAAAGTTCGACTTGTTAAGTGTCCAAGATGCCTGCAGCTCCTTCCAGAATCAGTAGATGTTCCTGTATATAGATGCGGTGGATGCGGCGCGATTCTTCAAGGTAATTATCTCAGTATATTCTATAGACTAGTGAGGAATTTTGTGATTTTTCAGTGCTGTCAGTTTTTTTGCAAGTTGAAAGACCCTTAAAAGGCTTGTCTTAGGAGTCTCTTGGATGGAGAGTAGTAGAAGATCCTCTCAGATACCCTCAGCTTCATGACTTTCTGTCCCATGATTGCTTTGAGCTATACCGTTATCCTTTTAATTTGCTCTCGCGAACATTTGTACCTCTATTCTGCTACGATGCGTTGACTTCATAGCTTTTGAAGCGAGTAATGGCGGGAACATTTCCCTTCTTAATGATGTTCTGATAACACCTTGTTGTTGGCACGCAGCAAAATACCGGAGGAATGATGCCAAGGATACAGGGTCAGATATTCGTGAAGAGAGTAGCATCCCGACAGAGAAATCGGCTTATGTTTCTGAGGATAAACAATCAAGTGGCGCACGTAATGGTATGATGATTCCTTCATTGGAAGATCGTTCTGTAAATTTAAATAATGTGGGCGAACGGGACACATCTATCTGTCATATCCCGGAGCAGGCAGAAGAGGCACAGGTTTGTAACGGTCACCTCGACAATGGGAAGAGTGGAAGCGAATCTAGGAATGTTGACGTGGAGGAAAATGGAGCGCTTGAGGAGCCTTGTTTGTCTGCCGCAGTTAGTTCTCACGATAAAGATCAGTCATCTCAAATTGGTGAAAATATAAAAGGTCAGATAAAAGAAGAAAGTTCGCCAATCCCTGAAGCAAACTCAGTGCTAGAAGCAGATAATGGTGAGATTGACTCCAAGGACGACAGCCCAAGAACGATATCCGGAAGTAGTTCGCAGATTACCGACGAGGGCCTGGTGGCAGAAAACATTTTAGCCAATGACGCCCCACTGCTGTCTTCTGGTGAACAGAAGGAGCAACTTCAGAATGATGTTCCCATTCGTCGTGCATTTGAGCGTATGACATCTAAGGAAACATTTGCAAGCACGGAGTATGTTGACCCTGCCTCTGAATTCAGCGATGCATTAGGTGATAGGTCCGTATCACCAACTGCCAGAAGCTCTCATGCTTATGAAGGCAGCGTGTCTTCTTATGACGCTTTCGAAGATCAATACCATGACAGGGATTTTCATAAGTTTAAGTATCCTGGAGAGAAAATGAATGCCGTGCCTTCTAAAGAACGGCGAAATAGGGGTAAGTATCAGGTGAATGACTCGATGGGTAGAGATTCTCGAGTTCATCATCCAGATAGGCACTTTACACCGCCTTATTTTACTTCAGATATGGGGCTTTATGCTATGAAAGGAAGCAGATGGGTCCAAAACGGGATGGCGGAACCCTCGAGCCATGTCTCTCCTAGTAGGTACCGTATAAGATCAGAAAGAGATGAATTACCGCCGAGGATTCCGGGGCAACCCAGAGCTGGCTATGATCATGGAAGTCCATCGAGTCAAGTGTACCCTGAACATGACAAGTTGAAACTATTGAAAATGGTCTATGAACTGGAGGACCAACTTAAAAGGACATGTAACATGGATAAGGTGGCTAGCGAAAGGGTTTCTGCGGGATTCAATTGGAAGGAAAATCGTAGCTCTATGTACTACGATGGTGGCCTATTGGAGGAGAGTGACTCTCTGGGATTAAATATGCCTGGATATCTTAGGAGAAGCGAGCCACGCAATAATTGGCGATCCTCAAAAATACCCTTCTCGGCCGAGATGACAAAAAGAAGTTACCAATCCAACCACACCCATTTGCATCATTTCCCTCCTGAGTATCGACGCTCTGAGCCGTTGCCTCCACCTAATATTTACAATAGAGGCCTCTACGGTTTCAACGAGACTCGGAATCCCTATAGTCCCTACAGCTCATGTGCCTCGAGCCCTCAGCGTTATATGGACTATGAGCCCTCAATGGGGGATAGTGACACTAACTCCAATCATCAGAGGTATAAGATCCGAGAGTTTAACAAGTATTTCAGGGAAAATCATCATGTGGTGAAGAGGCATTTAAGGCCTATAGCTGGTGGCGCACCGCTCATAACTTGCTACCGATGCTCGAAACTGCTGCAACTTCCTGCAGATTTTCTGTTTTTCAAGAAAAGGTGTCATCAACTGAGGTGTGGTGCTTGCAAGGCAGTGCTTAAATTTTCAGTCCAAAACCGAATTCATATAGTGCCATATGTGCGGGATGCCGAAGCGCCTCCACCAAGTGAGGCTGATGACTGCGATGACTTGATGAATAGAAGGAGGTATTCCTCAACTTCTCATGCCAATGGTTTTCCACAAACAGCTGTGTCTTGCTCTGATGATTACGGACTTTCCATCTGTAAAAGCTGCTCAACAGAAGGCGATCCTGCTTTGTTGGCACAGTTTCAAGCTCTAGATGACAGTAGAGAGGAGAAGACGAGATTTTCTCTGAATCGGTGCCGAAACAAACAAAAGAGTCAGCCTGGAATCTACGAATCAGCTGGTTGCTCTGGGCAGGATGGAATATCCCCCAACTCTGAGGGGCTGCCCCATAGATCAAACTCGCCACTTCATCAGCTTATGGGGTATTATTCGGTGAGCCAGGTCTTTCGAGGGCCTGAACCATCAGATGCAGGTGCAAGTTCATCTAGCCAGAAAAAGTCAGGATCTTGACAATTTTCTCGCATAGCTTAGGCCTGAGAGAACTGGAACACAAGCATGTGATCAGCATGAATCGCTGCTCTTCGACGTTGAATCATTTCAAATTCCGGGAATTAAGTGGGCAATGCTGTGATAACAGTTCAGAACCTCTCCTCTAGAGATCAAATTTTCTTTAAGATAACACTGGATGCAGGTTGTGAAGTTCAGTTCAGATTTTCAGTGGTAGAGTTTCTTTTAACAGTAGTATGTATACAAAAGGCGCAAGGGAGGATCTCTCAATTGATTTGTTTGTTCTTGTAAGTAGTCATCCATATACCACCAACACATATACATCTAATTTTCCTCGCCTGTACTTGTGTTCGTCGCCGCCACGCATCCAAACTGGAACGAAGCCAATGTAAAAAGGATTGACTGGTGTTCTCTCTTCTTGAATTTGAGGGGTCATTTGGTTTCATTTTCATCTGCTTATGCATTGCATTTCTTACCAACGACTCTGTTCATTTTTTCTGGTGAAAGTTCTTGTCAAAGCTTCTGATTCCATGTATTATCAGTTCCTTCTCAAGTTATGAAAATCATCATGAACTAATCTTTATCTCATCTGGTGAGATTGAACAAGGTTGGTGTTGAGAATCAGACAGTGAGATGTTTTTTATTGTTTCGGGCATGTTCGAGTAGGATGGAAACCCGATTTGACCCATTGACAACCTTGGAGATGGATTCTTGCTCTCCGACAGAGGCGGACCGAGGAACTTAGATTAGAGTATTTACGTATGAAGGAAAAATCTTCCATTTCACCTATCAAAATTTACCCATTTCGCCTATTGATTTTCCTTTAATGGAAAAAATCGATTCTTAAATTCCGACAAGTCGCTTCCCCTATTTCTGGACTTACATGAGAAACGACGAGAGCTATAAAACTCGAGATATCAGCATAATTTCCATCCTATACATTCGATAGGAGTTTCTGTAGTTTTGGATCTTGCAACTCATGGAAAAATTGACTTGATATAATGTAAAATGCCTTAAACCTTTCAATAAGTTCATCATTCTAAAATTTCAAATGTTTTTCCTGGTTTGCATTTTTCTAGAAAGACATTTTATGTTGCCTTTTTTTTTTTCTTTTGACCGACTTATAGTAGCAAATTTACAAAAAAATGAAAACTGCTAGCGTACCCAAGTAGTTTGAGCTCACCGCGACACAACCCAATCAAAAACCAAAGAACAGTTGCTGTCACATGCGACTTCACTTCACGGCGGTGAGATTAGCGCTGCCCCCGCCCCTTGCCCCTCCCAACACACGCACTGTATATACACGAGCGCAGTCGCACTCGCGACCCTCCGCGCGTGGAATTCATCTCCCGCCTCGCAGCTCGATTCGAGCAGAGGCGCATCATCCTCTTCCAGGTCGGTGACGCTCGTAGTTTGCCCAGCAGAATTTGCTCTTCGTTCATCGTTATCTGCTTGATGAATTGGCTGTTGTATCTGTGGCGCCTGGAAAAACCTGAGCTTGTCGTCGTGCTTTGTGTCGTTGTTATGTGTCTTCGATTCTGATAACCAGTACCGTTAAGGAATTTTGGGTAATGAGCACCTGAGGCACTCTCTAAGAAACAACAGGGAAAGTTTGTGACTTTCGGTGCGCCGTCCCATTGGGTCGTGTGTAATTTGTCTAACGAGTGACTCGAAGCGCACATTTGACAAGACCCTTTATCGAAAGCGTCGTTCTTTTCGTTGTATTTTGAACACAGAAGTCTGATTTGGTCTGGATTATGTGTATGCAGGGATGGGGAGAAAGAAGCAAGCTCAGCCGCGGAGGTCGGGTGGGATAATAATTGCGAGTAATGGCCAAGACAACACTAAATCAGATTTGGCTGACGAAAATGTGGTAGCAAATGAGAAGGCACAGAAGGGCGGATTGGATATAAGTGACCCACCAGTTTTTGTAGATGTTGAACGCACTTGTTGGGCATTGGATGAGCATTTTGATATATCTGAACTTGTATTGACCGACTTGAATATAGGAGGGGGATTTTCAGGTTTTAGAGTAGAAAATGGATTTTATCAGAGTTCGGATTACTCCTTTAGGTTCAGGGTGTGCAACGTGAATGAGTTTGTGGCTCGAATTAAACTGGGTCATTGGCCTGTATTATCCTCTAAAGATGTCCATTTGGAGTTGGTCGAGAAGTACTCGGCTGAGAACAGGGAGAATCAAATGGTGGTTTTGTCGGGTTCTTTTGATGGACCAAATGAGGGAGTTTCTGGTCTTGCTCACTTGGCTAGTCTGAAGTTTATGTCAGTTAGGCCACTTGAGGAGATTGCTTTTTCAGAGGACATGACGACTTTAAGGGTGAGGGTGGAAATTCTCAAGAGCGCCTTTGATGCTTGTGAGTCACTTCATGATAATACGAGGCAATTGTGGAAAAAGAGCATGATCAATGTCATGGCTTGGTTGAGACCAGAGGTTATGACTTCAGAGGCCAGGTATGGAATTTGTCAATCTCGAGCAGTAGGAAATGATTTGCATCCAGATGAAAGGGATAGCGCCACAGTAAACCGGAAAGGCGTAAAGTTTGACGTCAGTGGATTTTATGAGGCCATCAAGCCGTCAAAGTAAGCATAGCATGAATTCTTATTTAAGATCTTTGAGATGTCTCCTCATTTGGTCTTTGTTGCTCGCTTCTTTGCTTTACAGAGCGGATCCAATGCTCGATGATAACATTCCCAACTTACTTCCTAAGCTTAGGCCATATCAACGTCGCGCTGCATACTGGATGGTGCAGAGAGAGAAAGGAGCTTTAGGAAGTTTTGGCACGAAGGGAACAAGTCAGTTAGTTTCTCCTCTATGCATGACTGTGGGTTTTGTTGACTCCGGTTTACAAATGTTCTACAATCCATTCAGGTGCAGTTTCTCTATTCTTTCTTGGTACTACATAAATACAAATTCTACCATGTTTAGGGGTAAAATGGTTGAGTGTGGCTGGGTGTGGGTGGCATTTCTCCATTTTTGAACTCACGATCACTACATCCTGTAACCTTCATCCTCCCAGTTAAGTCCATTAGCTTAGTTGCAATTTTACCCAACTTCAAATGTGAGACATGGCATGGTTCTATGCAATAGACAACAGGGAGCAGGAGTACTATAAAATAATTGACATGCAGAATAATTGTAACAAGGGCTAACAAGATTTTAACCTTCGACTTGACATCTAATGCCTGTTATAGGATCGTTTGTTCTCAAAATCTAAGTTGTCTGAGAACGTACTTAGGTTATGTCTCACAACCATTTTCACGTAAATGGACTCTTGATGATGGTAGTGGTTGGTTAATTGTTGCTGTGGATTCGAATTTAATATGCTGCTGTAAGGTGCAACTTTACTTCCAGCTGTTACAGGGGATGCTTTTTCCACAGAATAGTTTCTGCTTCTGCCTTGCTTGAATTCATATTTGCTTTCTCTCTCTCTCTCTCTCTCTCTCTCTCTCTCTCTCTCTCTCTCTCTCTCTAATGTATTACGATGATCATCAACATAAGGGTCATAAGACATTCATTTTGATAGCGTCATCTATCAATTTTTTACGCCTTAACTATGCCAATTTTGTGTATGTACCTGCATTATTATGATATGATATAATTTTGCTTGGAAATGTTTGTTTTTCATTTTATGTTTTCCAGTGGTAATGTGGCAATGCGCCCAGAAGTTCTCTCTGAACGTGTATCTGGTGGTATCCTTGCTGGTCAGTCTTGAAAATACCTTGAGTTTAATCTTTTTATTTCTATGCTAATGCTATTCCTGCTGGAACTATTCACACCATAATGATCGATAATTCTGAACAGATGAGATGGGTTTAGGAAAGACTGTTGAGCTGCTAGCTTGCATCCTTTCCCACCGTTGGTCAGCATCTGAGAGTGGAGCATGCATCGATGAGGAATCACAATTGAGAGGAAAGAGTCGAATTCATACTAAAAGATTGAAAAGGGAACGGGTTGAGTGCATTTGCGGAGCTGTGACCGAAAGTTTCTGGTACACAGGACTGTGGGTTCAATGTGACGTTTGTGATGCATGGCAACATTCCGATTGTGTTGGTTATTCAGCTAGAGGGAAAAAGGTGAAGGATGGTAGTGGACAACCGGGAAGAGAGAAGAACATCGAGAAGTTCAGAAGAAAGAAAAATGTTCCCACTATTGTAGAGAGGGAGGGAAAATATGTCTGTCAATTGTGCTTGGAATTGATGACTGTTACTGAGTCTCCTGTTCCAAGTGGGGCAACTCTAATTGTGTGTCCGGCTCCTATATTGCACCAATGGCAAACTGAAATTATCAGGTGTAGAAGCTATCTTTTGATGTTATTGTCCATTTCTTTTCCTTGACTTTAGACTTAGCATTATCTGTGAGCTGGATATTTTTATGTGCTTTCACTGGTTGCCTATAGAGAATATTGATAAAGTTGGTCCGATGAGATTGATGGGTGCCCTAATGTTGAAAGCATATTATCAAAATATATGTGAAGTTCTCATGCCTGTTGTTTTTTAGTAGAAGTTTGTTATTTTCCTATGCTGTCATATCATCTTTAGTAGTTTTGGGCTTTCTTGTTTTGGTTCTGAATTTTATTATTGAATAGTTATCAGGCAAAATTTCCATGTTAATGAGATGCTTCAATTGTTGTAGCATTTCTGGTGCATTGAGCTTAAATTTCGAATTTTATGTGTGCCTTTGCTCCCCCTTGTAGGCACACAAATACTGATTCTGTGAAAATGCTGGTTTATGAAGGAGTGAGAAACACATCCTTTTCTGAAGAACCAGCAGTTGAAGTCCATGAACTTGTTTCCTATGACATTGTACTGACAACATATGAAGTGCTGAAAGAGGACCTATCACATGACTCTGATAGGCACGAAGGGGATCGCCGCTTCATGAGATACCAGAAGAGGTTCTATCAAATCTCCATATTCGTCGGCTATTACGTTTGTCCTTTACTAAGCTTGAGCACAAATCCCCCAGCCTAAACAAAAGGATTAATTTAAGAAGATTTATCTTGAGTAGTAACTTACCAGAACGATTTAGATGCCCAAATGGTCCAGAGTAATGCTGGTTAAGATATGTTTACTACTTGCTTATAGGTACCCTGTTATTCCGACTCCACTCACTAGAATCTTCTGGTGGAGGTTATGTTTGGACGAGGCTCAAATGGTGGAGAGTAATACTGCTGCTGCAACAGAAATGGCATTACGATTACATTCTAAACATCGTTGGTGTATTACTGGCACTCCCATTCAGCGTAGACTGGATGATTTATATGGGCTCTTGAAGTTCCTTAAACTAAGTCCTTTTGATGTCCCTAGATGGTGGAATGAAGTTATACGAGATCCATACGAGGTATGAAGATCTTTATGATTTTCTTCTGTGGGAGAAGTTCTCATATTAGACTTGCTTCCATTGATAGTTCAATATGAGAACACTCTCTTTTTTTTGCCCTTTGGCTGCAGAGGAGAGATGCGGGAGCTATGGAATTTACCCACAGTTTGTTCAAGCAAATTATGTGGCGTTCTTCAAAAAGACACGTTGCTGATGAATTACATCTTCCTCCTCAGGAAGAGTGTCTTTCATGGCTTTCTTTCTCAGCTATAGAGGAACACTTCTATCAGAGGCAGCATGAAACTTGTGTGGATTATGCTCGCGAACTTATTGAGAGTTTAAAGGCAGATATTCTCAAAAGAGAAGCTCCAGGTTGTGCATCTTCTCTGATGGTTCAATTGGTGAGACTTTGAGATGAAATGTGACAACTCACACCTGCGTTTTCAGGTAGTGCATCTTCTGCACCATCTGATTGTTTAATCACTCATGTGGAGGCTGCGAAGCTGCTGAACTCACTCCTGAAGCTTCGCCAAGCATGCTGTCATCCTCAAGTAGGAAGTTATGGACTTCGCTCTCTACAACAGTCACCCATGAGCATGGAAGAGGTCTTAACGGTATGTTTACCTTTTAGCTTGATTGATAGATTATGCATGGTCTTAAAGCGCTGTGGAGGAAAGTCCAAGAAGTATAAGTTCAGTTATTGCTAACTTCTAGAGGAACTTCTTCCCAGGTTCTCATTGGTAAGACAAAGATAGAGGGAGAGGAAGCCCTAAGGCGGTCAGTTGTTGCTTTGAATGGGCTTGCTGGTATAGCCATCATAGAGGACAATTCTGCTCATGCTGTGTCCTTGTACAAAGAGGCCTTGGATTTAGCTATGGAGCACTCGGAAGATTTCAGCTTGGATCCTTTATTGAACATTCATATTCATCACAATCTTTCTGAAATACTTTTCAAGGCTTCGAATGGCTCACTGCAAATTCAGTTAAATGATGGACAAACTTTCGGAAGCCCAAGGAATAAGGCCTCAAAGAGACCTTATTTTGGAGAATGCGATAACGAACATACCACAAAGAGGCAAAAATTGAATGGAATCGAAGATGATGGTTCTGTTTCAAATACTCCAAAGGCACCTACTTCCATTTCCGAAATGTCAGTGGATGCCTTACATGAAACAAATGAGTGCAATGCGAAGCCCTCTTTTGCATCTAATTCTTTTAGTTATGATTGTCTAAAAACAGTTTGTGAGAGCTTCAAGCAAAAATTCCTGTCTATTTTCAATTCAAAGTTGATCGTTGCTCAACTCGACTTCAAAAAATCATATGAGCAGGTTTGTTTTACGTATGCTTCTCTCTACTAGTGAAAGTTCATTCCATGCTCAATTAAGGTGATGTTTATCCTAGTGTTTTCGTCTAGAGAGTTCTATAATTGAGCAAATTAGCCATATCATTCCAGTCTAGAATTTGTCAAACCTATTAGTAGCTAGAGCATTCAGGAATAAATTACTGGTTGATCTGTACCTTGGATCCATTTCATGACAGTTCAAGCTTTTAAGACAAATGATAGCCTAACATGGAACTAGAGCTTCGTTCTCTAGTTATCTGCATCTACATTTGTTATCGTGCTTGTGCTCTTAGGTTACTTGTTTAATGAATTTAAATCCATATTATGTGTTTCACGTGTTAGGCTCATCTTACTCACAAGAAGGATTGAGGAATAACTAACGGTTAATGGACACCATGTGGCAATTAAGCTTTCAGGTCAAAATAGTCACCTAACAAGTAGCTTCTCTGCCTGCTTTCTCCAATCAAAGCAGAATACTTTTCACTTCTTCAGCAATTAGTTTGTGTTTGCATTGCTTGATTAATGAAATCGTGTCCTTAATGACTGTCTGTAGGCAGCATGCAGTATCTAGCTTGTAAGGCTTTTATTTCCACTTTTCTCCAATGTAATCAGTGTTGTGCTTCTTATATGCTTAGTTTCCTGGTTGACAACTGGTTGTCTGATACTACTTTTTGTGTCTTGAAGGTCTGCGATGCATTTAGTGAAATGAAAAATCAAGGTTCAGTTTGGTGGTTGGATGTTCTTCATCATATCGAACAGAGTAGGGATTCCACGAATGAGTTAATAAGAAAGATTGGTGAAGCTGTCCTGGGATCTACTAACAATTCGAGGTCATCTAAGATTGGCTCTAGGTGAGTCCATTTGTTATTTTCTGCATCTTATACTTCTAGTGCAAAAATGATTGGCTCTTGGTGAGTCCTGTTATTAAAATATGAATGTTATACTTGTAATGCAAAAAGGTGAATCCCCTCTGTTTCCTTTCCATATGCTATGATAATGCATAGTCTTGCTTGCATGAAATTTTCCTTACTTTGTTGGGGCAACTTTGGCTCTACGTCACCTCAAGACTTACTTGTCATTCTCCTTTGAAGTGAATTTTGAAAACTTTTGCGTATTGATTCTTTTAGCCCCTTAGAGCGTGCAAGATCCTCCTCACATGCAATTTATAAGTTGTGAAATGGAACTAAGTTGTATCCAGTTTCTTCGTGTTGATCCCATATCATGTGGAGATGATAAGCAGAACTTAATCAGCATGAATTATCAATAATGCCACAGGTACACCCATATAATGATCATTTCTGGGAAGGAAAACAATTTTCTTTTCATTGTTTTCCTTCTTCTTTTTCCTTGGGGGGGGGGGGGGGGGGGTGGAAAGAAGTAGTTAAATTTCTTTGATTGTCAATTCCTTCCTTGTTAATTAATTAATTTTCTAATTCTTCCCAAAAATTGGTAGCTAATCATGGTTTTGTGGCATGGGAATCAAGTAAGTAGCTGCTACTTATTAATTGGATAACTGGTACTTACTTGAATACATATATATATATATATATATATATATATATATATTGACTGCTAGGAGAGGCAGTGGTTTTGTATGCATCGAGTGATTAAAGTGATAACTACCCGTCTACATCTGTTGCCAGTGGTTGACGCCTGACTGTTACATACTTATACTGCTTTTCACCCATCCATATATTTTGAATCGTGTACATGGTTGAATTTTCTTAGAGAGCAACTTTTGGAAAAATATACTTGGTTATGGTACAAATAAATTTTGACATCTACTCATCATAACAGCCAGCACTCTGCTTATATCTTGATCCAGCTTTCGAAGCATCCACGGTCTAAAGTACTATATCCAGACTGGTCTTGATTCCCTGGAAGTGTCTAGAAGAGCTGTACTTGATAGACTATTAGAGATTGATGAGACAATGGAAAAACCGAGGGATGAGGACATAGAGAGAGTAGGACATTGCCAAAACTGCCAGCCTAATGGTAATGGTCCTGTATGCATTCTCTGTGAACTAGACGAACTATTCCAGGTTTGCTACTGCTTGTTGTAGTTAAGATCATTAAATTACACTCTGAGATGTAGTACAGCTCTCTTACTCTTTTCCTTTCGCAGATATATGAGGCTCGCCTCTTTCGCCTTAGCAATGCACATGGAGGGATAATTATGTCTGCTGAGGAGGCATTAGATCTGCAGAAGAAGAAATCTGCACTTAACCAGTTCTATAGGACTTTGTCACAAGCAAATAAGAATTCGTCATCTACGTCAAGGGATGAGGAAATCACTGGCAAGAGAGATACTGGCGAGAAAGTAGTGGTCAGTATTACTATTTTCATCTCTTTAACCTTTTTATTAAAATTTTGCTTGTTAGTCCAATTTCTTTGGTTCTTATCTGACATATTATGCGGTTTAGCTTCTTGGACACTACTGCCTCAATATATTGAGCTTGAAATCGAACTTGGACTTCTCATTCTTGTATGTGGCGAACTAAACATCAACTGTCATATGTACATTCTTTGTGAAGGCAAGAGCATACTTTCCTTCAGTAACCTGGATGTGGTTTAACTTATCTTAATTTGATTTTACGTCTTGAGCATGATAATGCTGGTTTAGTTGCAGATTCTTGTTGTAGCTGCAGCTTGGGATTCTAGTTTTCTTTTCTTTTTGGCTTATGTAAAACAAGGAGCAAGTGATGGAAATTACTTTTGAATGATGGAAGTTAAGAAGCTTATGTACATGATTTTTGGTTCATAGGTTTCTAAGTCTCCCTCTGAGTTGGAGGTTGTGCTTGGAGTTATACGGAGCTACAGCAAAGTGCATTTGGGGAAAGAGGGTAAATCAGCAGCCACCAAGCAATTACGTCTTCTAGAGGTATTCCACTCTCTTTCTTGATTTGATATGGGCCAAGGAATTTCAAAAGTGCGAGCTTAGAAATGCTTCAACCACATTATTTAAAATAATATTAGGTTATACATGATATTCTGGAGGGTAAATAGCTCTAAGGTGTAGTGATTTTAATTATGTCTAGAAACCCCACTCAGACTTTGAATGCTCATTGCAATTTGATTGATTCCTTGTGATACTCCACAGTTTTGTGGTACAGGGCCCAAGAAGATGCTTATTCGACAATTTGACTAGGAAGTCTTGTCTTAGTTGAAGTAATAATCCTTTTCGTAGAACATTCGAGGAACTGTTGTCGTTTATTGTGATATCTGGATTGCATTACTATTTTCAAGTCTCTGACACTATTTCCTCTTTTACCGTGAATAGGACATGAGGAAGGAGTATGCCTCCGCAAGGTCTTTGTGCATTGCTCAAGCTCAAGTTTTGCGAGCTCATGATGAAATCAAGATGTCAACTACAAGATTGCGCCTCAGAGAAGATGAGAATGATAAATCTCTTGATGCTCTAAGTGTGGAAGAATTACCTGCGAATAGTGTCCATTACTCGAATGAGAAATTCATATCTTTGGCTTTGTTATTACGTATAAAAGGGAAACTTCGTTATTTGAAGGTATGCAAAAGATGTTTTGATTGAAGTTGGCTGAACATGGTGACTCAAATTTAATTTAGTGAAGAAATATGCCAGGTGGTCCCAACCATTTTAGTTTCCCTGCCACTTTTATGGTCATCCCCTGCTTTTACCCATTTCTTTAATGTGTTTTTAGCATGATTTTTTCTTTTCTCATATGTCCATATCAGGGTCTGGTGCAAGCAAAGCAAAAGGCTTCCATGGAGAACACAGATAGTTCCTTCTTAACTCAAGAAACAGCTACCTGTCAGGTTTCTCCTATGGAACAGAAAAATGAGCACTCAGTGAATGCTTGTCAGGAAGCCTGCCCAATTTGCCATGAAAAAATAAGCATTCAAAAGATGGTTTTTCAATGTGGACATGTCACTTGCTGTAAATGTGAGTACTCTCTCTCTCTCTCTCTCTCTCCAGAAATAATTACATGCAATTGCTTATTTGAGCTGTCGAATCTTGTGGGTCCCGGGTAGGGGCCAGCATATGTATTGACTCGCATGCATTATAATTTTTGTTCTTTCACCCAGAACATGATGTTGCTGATAGTTTGAGGTGTGATAGCATATTTTTTCTGCATTACCAAAGATCATCCATTAATGTTGCAAAGTTTCAAAAGAATCTATCACGTTTAAGATCATAGAAAAGGCACCATCAATTTTGAGCACGGTGGTAATTTGTTGTTTTAGACTTTTTTTTTTTGGTCGGAAGACTCTATTTAAGTGGTAAATTCAAATATTGGGTATCAAAGCCTTTGACTCGACTATTCCCAACAATATGGTGTTTTAGGAAATGCCTTGGCTTTTTATGACCAGATCCGAGTCAAGAACCAATGTTGTCACTCTGGTTACCAGTAGCTTACTTCTCTTTTAATTGTTGAATAACTTTATTTTGTGCCGTTGATTGGTTTGCCTCACTGAAATTCTCCACATTGTGTCCCTATTCGCTTCATGAAGGCTTATTTGAATTGACTGAACACAAACAAGCTCAGGCTGGAGAGTCCCAGAGACGATGGGTGATGTGCCCCACTTGTCGACAACATACGGAGTTCGCAAATATTGCTTATGCTGACGATGGACAAAACAAATTGTCTACTTCTCCTGGGCTGCATGAATCTCAAGATAGCAGAAACGAAGCTTCTATCACTGTCCATGGGTCATATGGAACAAAGGTATGACTCGTCCAAAAGTAATTGAAGACATCAGAGATGTCTGAATAGTCTGCGTGGAAGTATTTCCAAACTGATAACAATCTTTGTTGTTAGTAATTTGTTTTCAAGGATTTCTTTCCATTGAAAACTGCTCTTGAAAAGTGTGTCTCCTGAAGACATCATTTTAGAATTAAGAAGGATATATCTGTACCCTTGTGGATGAAGCAAATCACAAGATGGAGGTCACTTCCAACTATTAGTTAAGTTCTTTACGGCACCTGACCAGAAATGAGCATCATCATTGCTTTCTTGAGAAACTTTGTGTGGAGTTTCACTTCTTTAAGGTTGTTCCATTTGTTGTGGATCGGTCTAGGTGATTTTTTAATTACATACTTTATTCTGGTGGGGTCACGAGGTAAATGGGTTGGATGCTTCATGGGTTTGTATCGGAAGTATGCTTGATGCACTTTCTAGTGACCTTCAAGGGAGTAGCAGCCTTGTCAAAGTAGCTTTAATTTGATTACACTGCTTCATCAAAAAGAATACTGAATAATTTAACTTTAGTTGAATAACAGGGTTTCTCTTTTGCTCATGAGTTTAATTAGAGGTTGATTTAGTATTTTTGTGATTACAATTCCTTATATGAAGTTACGATTAGTAACTTCTTGCCTGTGGGAGTTTTATTGAAGATTGAAGCTGTCACGAGGAGAATCTTGTGGATCAAGTCTACTGAGACAAACGCAAAAGTTCTTGTTTTCTCTAGCTGGAAGGATGTTCTTGATGTGCTGGAACACGCCTTCAAAGCTAACGGTATCTCTTATGCACGGATGAAAGGAGGGAGGTAAACAGGACAATAAACGACATCTTCCCTTCTGTATATGAATATTTACTCTTTGAATATTTATTGAGTAATTATTTGGTATGACTTGCACCAAAAGAAAACTGATTTTTTCAGTCGCAGTAAAGACCATGGGTTAATTATTTTATTTAGATTACTGACTAGACTCGATATGGACTGATGGAATCAAGATGCTGATGCCATAATGATACTGGAAACAGGAAAGCGCACACTGCAGTCGGCCATTTCAGAGGACAAAACGCTAGTGTAAAAGTAAATAAAGGGGAGCATTGCCAAGATATTCAGGTGTTGCTGCTCTTAGTCCAGCATGGGGCCAATGGGCTCAATCTCTTAGAAGCAAGGCACGTGATATTGGTGGAACCACTGCTTAACCCTGCTGCAGAGGCACAGGCAATCAGCCGAGTACATCGGATTGGGCAAGAAAATAAGACGCTAGTTCACCGTTTCATAGTAAGTTCATCTGTTGACTACTTATGCAATCTTATTCGGTATGATAAGAGTACTGCATATCTATCTTGCTGTGCTGATACCAGATCGCCTGTGGTACCAATTGAAATGGATCCAGTTTGGAGTTGATTTCATACTAAACCAAATATTGTCAGTTGGAGAACTGAAATCATTCTGTCAACCCAAAGAATGGGTGACCCTCAAATGAAGCCAGATACCTTGGGTTGAACTACTTTTGTTCAAGTTAATTTATGACATATAAGATCACTCTAAATGGAACTCTCATAACTGAGGTGAACTCTGAAGCATGTTGACCTTTCGGGGAATCTGATGATTCCTTTTTCTAATTCGTGTGTGTGTGTGTGTGTGTGTGTGTTTGGGGTGGGGGTAGAACTTAGAAGGGTAGGATACGACTCCATAACTTCACATATTTCTTCAAAACTTAGTGAGGTTTTTCTTTGTTCCTTTAGGTGAAAGATAGTGTTGAAGAGAGCATCTATAAGCTGAACAAAAGCAGGAACAGCAGTTCATTCATCAGCGGGAATACCAAAAACCAGGACCAGCCTGTATTGACACTTAAAGACGTGGAATCCCTGTTTGCGGCATCACCTGCCAACCCACCGCAGACTGATGAGAGGCCTATGGAAAGCCTAATGCATTTGCCGCCTTCCATGGCCGCTGCTGTAGCAGCTGAGAGAAGACTCCAGGAACAGACAGCTTCACATATTTCGTGAAGACAGATCTTCCAATAACGACATTGACCATCACAATGCACGCTCCAGAAAATTCACAGGTTCGTCACTGTTGGCAGTTAAAAAGTTGTCCGACAACCCGCTTCCCTTCTGTAGGAAGTGTTTTACCAGTCGCTCTCCATTCCGTAAATCATACTCACCTTGTACATACCATAATTTGTTAGCTTTAGATGCCTTTTCAGTGTCCGGCGATCCGTGTAATCTAGTTAGGAAATTCATTTGCTATCAGTGGACAACCTTGTCTTAACTCATTCTTTCTGCGGTCTTGCTCGTGCAAGAATTTCTGGGTCCTACTCATAATTGGTCGAATCTTTCGCGTCAATTGTTATTTCTGTAAACTGCTCTCCTATTTTAAGTAGTATAATTGATTTGACTTAAAGCGAGGAGCTTGGTGCAAAGAGTATTCCTCTTAAGTTGCTGTATGAGTTAGCTTTCTCCACGCAAAAGGAAAGAAACAAATTACAAAGCGATTGCAGAAGCCGTCCTTTAAAATTCAGCAACGGATCTTGTGTGTATGCTGCTGATACGAGTAAAAAGATGAGAATCAGTAAAAAGGCTGCAACCACCATAAATACTCATTCCACATCACGTTTACGTAAGTGATGAAAACGATATCGACAGTGACCTCTTCGGACCAGACCAACAACACTTTGAATCGCGTGCCCTCTGCTGCGCCATAATCTGGAATGCCTCTCGTCATTTCTCTGCCACTGCCACCAACTTTGCACTCACCAAATGCAGCCCGACACGTGTAAAACCATGGCGGCCACAATTTCAGGACGCCTGAACTCTTATATGGTCTAGAGGTCACCTTTCACTTGCCTCCTTGTCTCTGAAACTAGTACTGCTACATAATCTCTACCCAAATTAAGAAGTCGAATATGGAAACATCGTTCCGTAGTACCCACGTGCGTGTCTTGGGCGGTTCCATCGTTTCCCACCAGAAAAGCGATGTCCATGCTCGAAATCTGGCTGTTCCATCATCTGGGTCATTCTTGAAGCACAATAAGAAGCGATGGGATGGGGTGGATCTCGGGCTAGCGGCCCGATGTGCGAGTTTGTCTCCTGGTCCTGGTTCCGTGGCGGAGCTGATGGAAGAAACGGAATGGGACGAGATGAGGAATTGGTCGGAGAAATGCAGAGTGCAAGGAGTGGTGGCGCTGTTGGAGTGTCTGGAGAGAGAGGCAATCCTGGGAGAGGACGAAGGGAAAGAGCCGACGGATTACAGCAGGAGGGCTCGCATCTTTGACAAGAGCTCCGAGGCTTTTCAGGCTCTCAAGGAACGCGAGGCAGAGACAGCTTCTCACTAACTTTGGACAGGTGGTTAGATGATGATGACAGTTTTTGTTGATTGTAATTCTGTTCCTTTCCCTTTAAATAATTTTGAAAGGTTGGGTAAGAAACGACATTTTTGCCTCCAGAGAGAAAACCAATGAGGCTGTTCAAAACTGTGTTTCTTTTTCAGACAGTGAACAAAGTTTTTGTCAACATTTCGATGCTCCTTGTTGAAAAGCAAGTCTATCTGCCTTTAGACAGATTTACGCATATGCATGATTTCGTATCCCAATTGATTTGGTATACCAAAGTCAGAAGAGAATCTCTGACAATGTTCCAGCATTTCAGTTGGTCACCAAGAACATTCACTGTGTTTTTTCAAAGGGGCAAGATGTACCTTGCTCAAGAATCTCGCAGGCAAACAGAAACTCAGAAATAGTACTGAAGAAAGAAGAGAAAAACAGAGAACCTCGTAATTTTAACAATAGCACCAGCAAATAATGGCTCCATCACCAAAGTTAACGAAAAGTAACTAGAACACGTTCCTACAAATCCAGTAACAACGAGCTGCTCAAACTTGCAGTTCACAAGATTAACTATCCTAAAAGATTAAACAGACTAAACCTCTCTCTTCTAGGAATGCGAGTGCAATGAACCAGTCATGCCATCAACATGTCCTAACAGCTCCTAAGCAAGTGATCTTAACAGAACTTCCAATGGTTATTGCAGTTAACACAAGTGACATACGTCGTCATTGGTTCGTCCGCGCTCCTCGTCTGCATCTGGTAGTAAGTGCATTTTCTCTGGCCGCATCGGCCACACTTGAATTGATCAGTTGTAGCTTTCGGTGCGGCTCCTAGCTCACACTCGAACAAAGCTTTCTCCTTTATCTGTTGATTTTGAAGTTGCCTCTCATCACTAGCCATTTCTTCCGTGGTCATGTTTAGGAGCCTCTCCGGCTTGACATGACCGAGAAGAACTTTTCTCCTGAAATCTGGGTTGTTGGGATCCTTAATATTGAACATTAGGGACCTGTACTTCACCTTGTGGGCGCCGTTCATACGACCCCAACTCTGGAACATGGTTGACTCAACTGAAACAGCGATGCTAGATGGGTCACATGCATTCACTTCGTCAATGATGTCTTTGCTGGCTTCACCAGAAACTCTGGACAGAGCCTCAAAAAGAAGCTCCCGTACTCTGTCCCTCATCGGATCGTCGCATTTAGTCACAGAAGCAGACAGCGGCTGAGCAGGATGAGGTGACAATTTGTTCACGCGACAATTTGGTGTCTCTTCCTTAGTTGCAGTGATCGTTTCAACCTTGACACTTCCTTGCAGAATCCTATTACAGACCACTTTCTCAGTAACACCAACATCCAACCTTGACATCTTCTCGGAACCAGGAGTACCATTTCGCTCGGTTTTCCTTACCTTTGTTGCTTCATACTTGGGAATCCCCTCAATCCGGAAAGAGGAGGATTTTTTAACCTTACTCTCCCTGGGTTTTGCAGACTCATTATGATCCACACTGCCATTCTTCTTGCAACCATTTGATTCCTCCATAACAATCTGTTTCCATAGCTGAATCAAGTCGGAAGCAAAAGCTTGTATCTTCTTCCTAGGATGTTTTGTAAGGCGTCTAAGACCTTTCCCGACCTAAGAATTTTCAACCATGTAAGCATATGAAAGACCGAGTGAGGCAAGTAAGCACAAAGGCAAAGGCACATAAAAATTATAGCATACATAATAACTCCACATTAGGATATGATGAAGGACTCCTGCCATTTGATTACTGATATGCAGGTGATAAAACTTCAGTAGCTGGACCATGAAAGGCCTTGGAAACCTATGTCTGCTGAACAGAGTTGGTGAAAGCTTGTTTTCTTACTGTTAAGGCCTAATTTTTTGTTTAGTACGTGCCAAATAAATATTGCAATATAACTCGTGTTACTGAAAAATAGCCGTTTGCATGCTAGGGACTACTCGTTCTTTAGTTCCGAGGGCTAAAACTCAATGATCATAATTTTACAGCTCTATGTGAAGTCACTCAAGGAATCTTCCTACTCGATTGATGCATGTAATAAAGTTGAAAGCTTTCACTCTTGACACTTGTTATATCAACCGTGATTCATGAACTAACTTGTTTAACCGGTTTCCCGGGAAAAATTTAGAATTGAAAATTCTCGCCTGGTGGGATATCCACAAATCCCACTACTAAGCGAGATTTCTTAAATACGAAGAATACGAAGAAAGAAAAAACAACATGAGGAAACAGATAATTCTAGAGCAAATTAAGTACCGAAATGCATGCTTACAGAAAAGAAAATAAAATGTGCGGTCACCCCTTCTTACAAAATAAAATGAGCATGACCTTCCTATATAGGCTTCCGGTTGCCCCATTTTTGACAAAACAAAATGTGCGGTCTCGACGACGCAGTTAGAAATCCTATCTAACGGTGCCGTCATGCGCGCCGCCGCCGTCGCCTACGTTACATCGCATTTGCTCGCATGAAATACGCGAAGCAGCAAGCACAATCTAAAGCTCCGCGGCACACGCAAAAAAGGAACTAATTTACAGAGAAAAGGAAAGATACAATTACACATTGTCCACCGCATCCTACATAAACTAGACGTCGAAAGCAGCAGAACAGCATACAGCACCGAACCTCCTCATCTAATTGTCCAACAAACAGAGCACGATTGATTGGAAGAGAGTTCACCCTACCCTCACGGGGTCCTGCTCCGCTGATAACAGGACCACGATCATAAACAGAGGGACAACAACGGGCGGGCGGGCGGGCGGGCGGAATCGAATCGAACCGCGAGGCCCCCCCCGCGAGAAAAGCGAGCGGAAAAAAATTGGGGAAGAGGGGGGGGGGGGGGGGGGGGACGCACCTGAGTGGAGACGAGGGCCTGAGAAGTGACGGGGAAGGACTTGAGGCGCTTCAAGGCGTCGATGCACCGCCGCTCCTCCTCCTCCTCCTCGTCGTCGTCCCCTCCGCCGTTCCCGTCCGCGGCCGTCGCGTCCGCGGCTCTGCTCGCCAGCTGGAACACCTCCACCAGCTCCGCCTCCATCTCTCTCTCTCTCTCTCTCTCTCTCTCCGTCTCTTCAAGCTCCGCACCTTCAAGAACCTGAAAAACACGCGCGCGCGCACCAGCACGCATCAATCGCTCCGCATCCCCAAAAAAAAAACCCACCTCGAACGCAGAGAGACAGAGAAGACGCACAACAGAAAGAAGAGGAAACGAGCGTTCCTTTTTTCCAAACAAAAAGAAACGCCAAAACTACGTCTAAGATCAAGCGAACATTCGCGCGCTTTCTCAGGCCCATGCATGCAACGAGCAAAAGGCGGGGGCAACCTCCGTCGCTCGAAGAGGGGAGAGGGGGAGGCGCGGGCGAACGGGGAACAGCAGCGGACGACGTCGTGGAGGGGACGAGTGCGGGGGGGGGGGGGGGACTTACGACGGACGAGGGAAGCTCGGGCAGAGCGCCGCGCCTGAGGAGCGCAGCAAGCGAGACTTTGCGAATTCCGAGGTGGAAGATGGCTGTCGCACGCAGAGGCAGAGGCAGAGGCAGAGGCAGAGACAGCACGAAGAAGAAGAAGAAGAAGGAAGGAAGGGAGGGAAGGAAAGGGAGGGAGGAGAAAAGGGCGTGAGGCGGTGGAACGCAGCGTTTAAATAGGAGGGGATGGGGTGAATCTTGACGGTTGAAAAGTAGGCCCACGTGGGAATATCCTGGATATCGTGTTCTTTGATTTTTTCTTTTTCCCTCTCTCTCTCTTTTATCCACTTTTTCTTTTACAAAATTAATTATATTTCGAAGTAAGGGGTAGTTCTGTTTCGAAGCACGGCGCGTGCATTATTTTTTCGATTGCTTAGCAAGTGTCTCGAGAGCCGCTTAATAATATTTGAATGATAAAGAGAAGGAAGATGTTTTCGTTATCTTCTGTTCACTCATTTTTTTATAAGTGCGTGATTAAATGGGCATTATTTTGAAAAGGGGAAAAGAAAAAAAGATGGAATATGATTTGGTAGTAATTTTGAAGGAACGCTTAACAAGATTTTAATTTTTTTCCGATCAAAAAGGAGAGATTCAGAGAGAGAGAGAGGGAGAGAGTGTGCGCAGCTTTGGAGCTGGTCTGTTGGGAGCTTTTCGAGGATGCGCGCTTGTTGCCGCGCGGGTTTGTTGCTCCCTCTGACACGCGTCCATCGTCCAATCCCACGCTGACTTGTCCTTCCCACATCTCTCTCCTTCTTCTTTCTTATCACGAGAATTAATCGCCAACCATTATACTCGTCAAAATAAATCATAAATTAATTAATTATATTTAGTTAAATACGAAAGTGTTTTAGTAATATGGAGTCGAGTCGGATATGAGTCGGATCGAGTATGGATCATTAAATTTGTATTACACGAAAATAGATCTATTTGCGTCGGACTATTTTCGACCCGACCCACCCGTTTAACGGGTCTACCGATCACTAAGTAACGCTCTTTGAATTCGAAGTTTAGTTACGCATTTATGCACTCGATTACACGATATTCCCTCTCTCTTTTCCGTCGCTTCTCCTGTTTGTTGCTCATGCTTTTGTTTCTTCGACCTGCGAACACATCTACAAAACCGAGTTGAGTGCTTTGCCCGTGCGACGAGCTGCACCACGCGCCGGTCGGCCCATAGCACCTCCCCTGCCTTTCGTCGCCACAAATAGACTGGCATTGTTGTCGCTTCGTGCACAGTAAAAATTACCAACAACATAAGATGTTATCGCTGTCTTACATCAAAAGTTACCCCTCAATACGCTCGAAAATCTGTAATCATATATTTCACTATTTTCATGTTGAAAGTTAAACATCATCTTGGAGCAACTTACTTCTAATCACATCTTGTCAGCCGTGCCAAAAAGGAGGAAGCCTATCCTTACAGATTTGGCTTGCAGCGATCAGTCAATACTGTCCTTACAGGTTGAATGGTAGATGATCAGTAGCGAAAGGAATTTACCTGTGGCAGCTTTTTAATCTTCCATAATTCTTTGACCTTACATTTTTCTTTCGGCCTACATCCTCGAAAAATCCCCAACTTCAATCTCTGGTTTTTTATTTTCGCCTTAAAAAAAGAATCCCAAATTTTCATCTAGTTCCAAATCTACCCATGCGTAAAGAAAATGGACCACTAATTTCCTCATAAAAATGCCATTGGTTTCTTCAAGATCATCAACCTCAGGAACTTGCTGTTGTTCCGTTATAACTGGTTCCAGTTTTACATGATCAATAACTGCATCACTACAAAAAGACTCCTCCCCTATAACATTGATGATTTCGGGGCTAACCAATTAGTGGTAAAACAAATTCCCAATCGCCCCCTGCAGCCTTGATTCATGAAATCCAGTACTCACCAACACGGCTGGCCAAATATGCAAACAAAGCCAACTACAGTTCTACAGATAAATCCCAATGAAGCAAACATTGACCTTACTTCACGCTGCAGGAGTGGGCCAAGTGCTGCAACCGCCCCGGCCCTCCCCTGCCTTACCAGAAAGTCGTCATCTAGTAAGAAAACAAAACAGCATGCTCTGTACTTTACACCGTTTTGAAAGACGGCACACTGCACATCTCATTCTTAAACTGCATTTGGCAAAGAAGCGCCCAGCTTATCAAACATTTTCACCAGTTATGGCCATCGATTGACGGCTGCAATAAGCGACGACAAAGAAAAGAGGGACCAGAGGGAGAGAGAAGAATCAAAGAGTGCTCTCAAAAACAAAGTATTCATTGTATGATCCGGATGTTAATGCCGAAAAAGGACCCAGAATGGTACTGGCAACTGAAAATACATTATTCAAGTTCACTTTTGTTCATAAGCTCTCCCAGCAGAAAGGATAAAAAGCAATGACGAAATCAGACTTGCCCAACTTTTACTCCCCAAATCAATTGCCTTCAGGCTCTGGTTTCTCGAAGAAAGTTTTCTTCAACCAATTAAAGGGCTGCATTGGAAAGGAGAGGATTATTAAAGTTTCAAAACACAAATTCAGCCATACTCATCCAGGAAAATCAACCATACATATATTTATATATTTTCAATAAATAGGACCAGACATCATCAGCCTACAACAAGCGAAAGGTGAAAGTGGAATAAAGGACCTGAAAGACATGCTCCAATGAGATCACCGATCGCAGCAACAGAATAAACTTCTCATAACATAGAAAGAAAACGTCTCTTGTGCACCCGTATTACAGATTACCAGAACAAAATATAGAAGAATGCTGATCCAGAGCATCTCTCACAAGTTAATATCAATAGCAATACAGGGTACCCCAGATCAACAAGGTCGACAGCTGATCCACTATTGTTCATAAGTTACATAAGGTAACCTATGTCTCCAAGGTCAACAGCTGATTTATTAGCCAATTTTGAGTAACAAATTACCATTGCATCAGCCAGCGGCCTATTAGTCGAGTTCAACCACAGAACCAAATATCTAAACTATAACAGTAGATACTGTTGCTCTGCTTAAACGTCGTCATACTTCTTGACCATCGACAAAAGAGATCGACTTGATGGACACTAACAAGTGACCAGATGAGTTCATGTACAGTATGCAAGAATTCAACTGACATGCATTTACCCACATCCATCCGATGTGTTAAGTAGTACAATCAGTTTGGTCATGAGTTCTTAAGACGTCCATCATTCAAAGGTTACAAAAAAAAGAAAGATACATCAAGATGCGCATAAAGGGATAAGCTTGAGCGACATAAGTTTCACGACCCAATACTGTTTCCCACCACCTCAAAACATTAGTTTCAGATGTTACCCCATTATGGTCGTGTCTCATTAAGCCAGCTTCGATTCATACCCACATAATGAAAGGAAAATCTCAAAATGCGAGCCTATATATCCTCGCAGAAATGTACTTGCATCGGAAGTTTGACAGGTTCAATCCCTCAAAATCCACGGAAAGAAAAGAACTTCCAATCAATTAAACAGACATAGCTCCCAGATCAAACTGGATGAAAGATGGGAATTTCGCAAACCCTTCCAGAACTTAGCGAGGAAAACATTCTCGAAACATGATCCCAACACAACCCTGTGCATTGCCAACTAATCAAAGTGAGTGCCGCAATAAACCAACACAAGCATGAGGACGGAATCTCAACACCCCATCTAATAGTCGACCAAAAAAACACAATTAGCTCCGCGAAAATCGACAAAATCACATTAGCCACCCACGATTCAAAACCACGCGACTAGCTAATTGCCCAATCGAACAAAACCCGACACTGCCGAATCCCGATGAGAACAACCAAGCTGCCCAAAAACATACGCCAGATCGAATCGAACAAGCTCGCTCTCCATTGCTCGTTCCTCGGAGATCGTTATCAACGGCGACGAACCAGAGCGAGAGCGCGCTCACCTGGATGAGGTAAAGAGCGGTGGCGCCGGCGGCGACGCCCCACATGGCGGCGGCCTGGATGTCGTCCGACTGGGGTCGCAGCCTGGGCTTGAGGAATTTGAACAGACCAGATCCACCGGACGACGCCACTGATGCCATCTCTCTCTCTCTCTCTCTCTAACTACACCTTTCGATTTCCCCCAAATTGGAACGGAAACCCTAATTCCGCGAAGCTGTTTTTTTGGGGGGGGGCGCCCTTCAATGAAAGAATCTCTCTGGCTCTCGAGCGATGCCGAGTGTCAAGAACGCGAGAGTGAACAGAGGACGGAGCACCGCGGCGACTTCTAGAAGGGTACGTGTGCTTCCTTCTGATTGGCGGAGAGCGGTGACGGGGGGTGCGCCCCGCGAACGGCTAGAGATTGTTTTCTTCTGAACGACTACCGGAGCCGTTTGATCTCAAGGGGGTGTGGGAGTTAAGGGGCGTGCAAAAGAATCAGGAACCGCCCGCAATCGGTGATTCTCACGGGGACCAGTTCGATTCTCGATTCCAATTTACTGGAGTCGGTGAGTATCGGTTTGCTTCCCGGTTCCAAACATGGAACCACCCGCTCAGACCAAACCGATATATACATATATATATATTAAAAAAATTCATGCTGTAGTTATATTGTGAAATCTGCTTATTTGGTTTCACAAAAAGTAATATATGCTTGCACAGAAAATTAGGGGTGAACATGATTTCAGGGTAGAACTTGGAGCCAGAAAACCTGACCAATGAGAACCTGTAAGTTCCAAGTTCCGACATATGCAGGGTAAGTTTCAATTCTAAAAATTGGGGAACATGTTTCGACAGATAGGTTCAGGTTTTAGGTAAGTGGAACATGGAATCTGAAACCTTAAACAAGTTTTTTTTTTTGTTTTTTCAAGGTCTATGTCTTCGCGTGATCCTGCGATGTTCCATGGCATTAGATGGTGAGTGTATAATCTGGAACTACTGGTCTAACCTGTCATTTTCTATATTGTTAATGTTTCATATTATTCATGTGTTTAAATATAAGTTGTTGTCTGTGAATCATAGCAGTAAGTAGGAGTCATTAAAGGTGATGATTCACTGCAATTGTTCAATTAATAATACAAGTGGAATCTGAGTAGACTCTGGAACCGATCCTAAAACCTGTGACGGGGTAAATTCAAGGTTCAAAGGTATGTAAGGTAGGTTTCAGGTTCCCAAAAAATGAAGAACATGTTCTCATGGGTAGATTACAGGTTCCAGGTGGAACCTGTAAAAATCCTAAAATCGCTCACCCCTAACAGAAATCGATGATTCTGGAAGTTGACAAGGAAAATGTTTTTTCAAGAATGGCTTCTAGTTTGCTTCCCTTGAGAATAAATTTGTCTTAATGTGTTCTAGCATAGAATCAGTACTTGTTTGATTAATTTCGTGATGAAACCTAATAAGTACCCACATAGAAACTGGGTTCACCATGGTATTAATTGATGAATAAAATTTTGTAGGGATTAGGGACCAGTTCCAATTTTTCGAAACCGGTCCTTAGTGGGCGGTTCCCAGATCCAAAGTGGGAACGGCCCACCCGAACTATGTTCACCCCTAATTAAAACATGCATCAAAATTGATTTTTTGATAAACCAATGCCAAAATTGAGAGGCAAAGAATATATATAATGAACTCGTTAAACATGCATGATTTGAAAAATACTTTCCTAAAACCGATAATTAATATCTCTTGAAATAATTAGTTAATAAAAAATATGTTCATTATCGACAGCAATACATATCTTAATATTTTCACGGACGATAAAAAATATTTCTTGTTTATTCATTTTTGTAAGCAATGCGAGTGATCATTTTTAGAAAAATATTTTTCGCACCGTTCATTTTCTACGAAGCAAATGGAGCCCGATTGGAAATTTTTGTCGTGGCATTGAGGCATAAGGGGCCCTCATCAGCTGAAGGGGCAATCTCCATGTGTAATTAGGCCCTCCAAAACTAGCCCATTAAGGATTAGCGTGGGTTAGCTCAGTAATGATGTCCAGATGTAATATAATATAATGTTTAATCCTCCTTTATTTATTTATTCTTCGAAGATTAGATTAGGGTGTGCACGGTCCGACCCATCATAATCTAATGTCTAATCTAACGGATTCGATATTGATTTAGAAGAGTTTTACGAATGTCAATATCGTACACCCCCCCGCTGCCGTCCAAGCTATAGGAAAACGACTTGCAATTAATTATGTCTTGTTTAATGAGATATCGACTTTTGTCCCGTCCCCATGTTAATCCACATATAAAACTAATGGAAATTTATGATATGATTTCGAGCAGTTAAAATGTCAAATCTCAAGAAAAAATTGAAGCCGTCGCGAGTATCGACAGAATATGATAGAATCGAACCGAAAATTTCGGGCTTTCCTACAGGTCTCGGCCTGCCATCAATGCCTACTTCTGTGAACAGTTTCTTTGTGGGCGATTGGAGAATCGGTGTCCACGGCGAAGGGCTAGACCATTGTCGATGACATGGTAGGCCGAGAACGGCAAATTGTGCCTTGGGCTGAGGCAAGCAAATTCAAATTCTGAATCTCTGTCTTCTTCCACGAGCTATGGCTCTTGCTCTGCATATTTGGTTTAGGTGTCGGAGTGGTCGCGCTTGGCCTCGGAGACGTCGACGGCGAGCTGCTCTTCGAAATCCTCCGCCAAATTGTAGAAAGACTTGGAATTATGCGGTCAAGTAACGTGATACATTTACTTTCCGTCAAAGTTCCGTTGATAAAAACTATTAGAAATCTTACTACATGGATGCCATAAAACAAACAATGTTGACATGGTGATTACGTTACTTAAGCAATAAAACGATTTTGTTTTGATTGAAAAATAAACTAATGGAACCTTGATGGAGGGTAAATCAATCGTATAAATACAAATATAGGGTTTTTTTATGACTCGATAAAAAGTTTAAGGTAAATGCATCATGGTCGGCATAGTTCGAGGTTTTTGATATCACAGAAAAAAAGTTCGAATGTATCACGGTGGATATAGTTTAAGATTTTTTATGATTTTCTTTCTTTAATAAAAACAAATTCATTAGAAATGTGGCAAACAGGAATAAGAACAAGAATTATTCCCTCAACGTTTTGACTATTAATCAATTAGGACTTTGAGGGTTCAATTTGGTCAATCAAATCTTTAATAGTTGAGGTCCAATCAAGTCTGAGCGCGTCATCATCAAAATTTCGGTCCGATGCGAGATATCCTCCGCGGCACTCGGATCTATGGCCACGTGGCATAACTATCTAACGGTAACCAAACAACCTCTTCGTCCCGTCTAGAAGATATCTCTCCAGAGGCTTCCTTCCATCGTTGCAAAACATTTTCGATTCTGTTGACCGTGTGTAATCAGTACTTTGAAAATTAAAATGCTTCTAATAAAACACGTCTAACAAGTATCTCTGGACACTCGTTAGCGGAGAGCTAAGTTATTGTAACATTTCTCGAGATGGAATTTAATAATTAAGAAAAATGAAAAAAAAAATGATTATCATATCATCAGCATGCTGTTTTGGGATAAATGCCCTAGAAGTCCTAAAACTTATCATGAAAGTGCAATTGAATTCTAAAACTTTCAAAAAATGCAATCAAGTCCTAAAACTTTCAAAAAGTGCAATTAAGTCCTAAAACTTATCACGAAAGTACAATCAAGTCCTAAAACTTTCAAAATGTGCAATCAATAAAAGGACTTGATTGAACCAATTTGACAAGTTTTACGACTTATTTGCACTTTTTGAAAGTTTTAGGACTCAATTGCACTTTCGTAACAAGTTTTAGGACTTAATTACATATTATGAAAATTTTAGGACTCAATTACACTTTCGTGATAAGTTTTAGGACTTTCAATGCACTTATCCATGTTGTTTTTAATGTTTCCTCTCCAACCTTTGTCCTTGGAAGCATTTAGTGAAGGATTTAATGTTGCAGTGAAATCACTCACTCCAACTTGCCTGTCCTTCTCTCACTTCTTTGTCTTTATCAACAACAGCATCATAATTGATGACACCTCTGATTGGGTTCCATGAATCTGCTCATCGTATGAACGAACAAAACATCTTAAATTCCTACAGTGGCCCTCGTCGTTTTGCCCCCCTTCCTCCCTTTTTCTTTTCCCTCTTTATTTTTATTTTAACTTGAGATTTTTATTTAATTCAAATTAAATTTGCGTTAAAAATCAGAGTTTGATCGGAACGACGCCGTTTCAGCCTTACGTCTCGTGTTTTAGCCATGTCACCGCCTCGCAGGAGAGGGAAAATATTAAAAAAAAGGCAACGTCGGCGTTTTCCGTTACTCAAGTTAGGACAGAATTAACGGAAGGACTCGATTGTATCAATTTAACAAATCTGCCCTTTTTAGTAAGTTTTATGGCTCGATTGCACTTTCGTGACACGTTTTAAGATTTTCGATGTACTTATCCCATCATTAAATGACTTGAGACCGGAGAAGTTTTCCCACGGGCAGTTCAACTGATCGATTCATAGGCCCTTGCTGTCTCGCTTTCTTCCCTCTCTCTTTTTATCATTTAGCTTGTCTTTCATTTAATTTGAAAAAAAATTGTTTTATAAATCAGATTTCGACAAAAATGGCATCGTTTTAGCTTTACATTTCACAGTTACGTCATCGCCACGTAGGAAAGAGAAAGTATTAAAAAAAGAAAAATCGCGTCAGCATTTTCTCGTTAGAACTAATAGAAGGACTTTTTCGCACCAATTTCGACAAAGTGCTCCACCGTTTTTTGTCCCTATTCTCCACGCCTCTATGAATCACGAAATGGCCTCGAGGATCAATAGGTAATTGCATGTTGGCATTAGAATAATCCCTAATTGTCGGCATCGATGGCACGATTCAAAGAAGCCTAGGGTTTCACGTGTGGATATTGGACGGGCCAAGAAGATCAACAAATATGTAAGGCAGATAATGCAATCTCGACGCGCACAAAATTCTTTTCAGCTTCGAAATCTGATCTTTGGTACTGGAAAATATTAGAATATGCACTAGCTACATCCCTGCGCTTTGACACTTTCCAGCCGGTTCTCTTGTCTGCTTATGCCACCATTTTCTTCTTTTACATGGGCGTTTTCCATGGACAAGATATATATATTCCCTTTTCAGTCAAAAAATAGGACATGTTGGTTGGGACCATCGAGTAATTAAAAGGATCAATAATCATTTAGGACCCATTTCGAAAGGTCATAAGTAACAAAAATCATCAATAAATCATGGGTTTTTACTATGTATTTGGACGGCGTAAAGGAATAACTAACACGGGCACGATTTAAACGATGAGGGGGAAATTGTATTAAAAGTTTTAATCCTATCGCGCTTTTGCCAATTCAGCCATAGGCATTTTAATTTTGCTAATTGAGTCTTAAATTTTTTCCGCGTCTTTGCCAATTGAGTCCGTCCGATCAATTTCGGTCGGAAATCGCTGACGTGGCAATCCAGTCAGCGCCGGCTATCCTATGTGGTATGGGGCCGACGCTGACGTGGACATATTTTTATAATTTTCAAATATTTTTTCGGATTCTTTTTTTATTTTTTTAATTGGTTTTTAGACTTTTCTTTTCTTTTCTTTTCTTTATTTTCTTTTTTGGTTCAAAGAGTCGGCGGGGGCTTCATGGCCCTCGCCCAAGGGCCAGCGGAGGTCGCCAACTCTCGGCCCGCCGGCCTTTTGAACCAAAAAAGGAAAAAAAAAAAAAAAGAAGGAAAAACGCATTAGGTTTAGAACTTTTTGGACAATTTTCCCAAACGACGAGACACGCATGAGGAATTAAAAAGAAAAACACGATTGATTGATTGAGACACCAACCCTACGAGAATCTGAGGATGAATCTAAATGTTCGAACTAATACCGTTGTAAGAAACTAGAAATCTTCAAACATAAGCAAGTGTGTGTGTGGAAACCGGCATAGAATTCACACCCCATCATTCTCTTAAAAAATTTTATGACGCCACTCAATCTCTACTTCGAGACGCATTTTCTCCGCCCGGGGGGGAAAGCATAGTATTCGCGGAAAATAACAATCGAAAATGTCACAAAAGTTAGGCCAAAGTTCCTGAAATCTCTCTGTGAAACGTGTTTTGTTCCATTATGTGGGGGTGGGTGGGGGGGGGGGGCCACGTGCAGCACTGTGCAGGTCTTTCGTTTTATATAAAGTCCAAAACAAAAGGAGTACTATGTAAGATAAAATAAAGGAGTACTAGGTGTGTAGGGGTCGCTCCTTTGTGTGGTCCTCCTTATCTTTGCTGCGAGCGACCCTTTTTGCTGCATCATAAAGGTAATTCCTTCAACCTTTTTGTATAGAGTCACCACCCCAAAAACACCCTAAGAAAAAGAACCAGAAAAGATGAAATCAAGAGCAAAAATGATGGAGCCCTTTGGGGACAATGCCTTCGAATCTTCTCAAGTTTGGGTAAAAACCGCTGGTTCATGTTGCCAGAATTTCCCCGTCAAAATGCTGCGATTGAATTTACTCATTTGCTCGAATTAACCACGCTCGACCTATCTTTCTCATGCAACGTTCCCTCCTTTCCACATGAGGTGGGCCCAGGGAAATTGAAGGGCGCAATAAAGAACGCGTCAGCGGTGGATCACCCTGCAAACGTCACGCACCTTCTTGCAACAGCCACCATACCCTTTTGGATTTGATTATAATTTTCGTCATCTGTTTGTCTTGATTCGCATGTTTCCTCGCTGTTTCTCTCTGTATGCTCTCGATATATATCCCTTTTCCTCTCGTTTTCCCATCATTTGCCGCTCACTTTCCTTCCATCTCTCGGCTCTATTTCCCTACACTTTCGAAAGGAGGAGGGAGGGAGGGAGAGAGAGAGAGAGGAAGAAGCAGAAGTAATGGGGACTGATGGGCCGGAGGGTTCGCCATCATCAGCAGTGATCCAGACGAAAAGGGTGATGGAGGAGCTGCTTCGGGGAAACAGCGCGGCAATTCAGCTTCAGCTTCTGCTCAAGAACTCGCCGGGTCAGAACGGTCCTGGTGGTTCCGGGTCGTCGTCGCCTGATGAGCTTCTGGAGACGATCTTGAGATCTTTCACCGAAAGCCTCTCGGTTCTTGGCTCTCGCTGCGGGTCTGCATCCGCCGGTCATGACCGCCGGGTCTCGCCGAGCTCCGGCGAGTCCAGTGAGAGCAAGAGGAGGCTCGATCTGAAGGATCGGAGGGGTTCTCACAAGAGGAGGTACGATCAAGAAAGGTTCACAGCCTACTAATTATTACATATAAACATTTTTGCTCACTTCTTGATTAGGTTTCTTCCTTTTCGGATACTCTTTTTTGTATTTCCGGGGTTTTTCTTCATCACTAAACTAATTAAGCTGCAAAAACTGGACTGAGAAGTTAGAAATGTTCCATCTTTTTCACACAGATTCACCATGGATGCACTAATTGATGCTTAGAATTGCCTTCTGGTACCTGACCGTACGGTCACTGTGATCAGCGGATTTGTCATTTGTTTCAAGTTCCTGGGATGATATTTTTCGGATTATATTCTGCAGCAGCCAAAGATCCAACCAATTACGATCTTGGATCTAATGCTTTCAATTTTTCTGCTTTGTTTTGTTTTTGCAGGAAGACATCTCAAACATGGACAAAAGTCTCTCCCACTATTGAAGATAATCATGCATGGAGAAAATATGGCCAAAAGGTGATCCTCAACGCCAAGCACCCAAGGTCTGCTGTCCCTTCAAGTATTTCCAATTCTTAACCCACATGAAATCACTATTCTTGAATCTTGGTTGCCTCTTAAACAGTGACCAAGAAGGGGGAAAATGCTTTGTTTGCACAGCATAAGCAATAGCCACTTATTTTTAGGAAGCAAACTGAAAGATCATCACTAGATTTTTTCCTTAAATTTGTCGTATGATATGCAGGAGCTACTTCAGGTGCACACACAAGTATGACCAAGACTGCAAAGCGGCCAAACAGGTCCAAAGAATGGAGGACAATCCTCAGATGTTCCACATCACCTACATTGGAGTCCACACATGTAGGGACATCATGAAGACACCACAAATGCTCATCACAGATCCTGATACTTGTGTTGGTGAATCTTTCCCCGTAAAGCAAGAGCCCAGGGAGGATGCCAAAAGCGACCTAACCAATGACAATGTCTCGTCCATGGGCTTCCTCTTTACGGGACTCGAATCCTCTGATCAGCCGAATGACCTAGCCTCAGTTTCCTCAGCAAGGATGGGTTTTGATGATACTGCTAATGGTGATCCTGCTGTCCACACCATGTGCCCTTTTGTGGATGCTGCTGATTCTCACGGTCTAGGGATGGAGTTTCTGCGCAATAGCGTTAGCTTTGACGGTGATCATTTCCACTTTGATGAAAGTGAATTTTAAGCTAAGTGAGATGAGAGAGCATAGAAATTAACTAGGTGTAAAGAAAAGCCAGTCTAGGACTGGCAAGTGCCTTTGTCTTTGCTTTTGTTCCGTGGAAATAACAGCTTTCTTTGAACAGATGATGTTGTTGATCGGATTAATGGTATTGTGCATGAATTGATGGGTTCTTTGTTTATCATTTCTCTTTTGAGGAAGTCCCTTTACGAGTTAAACCGTTTGGCCTCCAAGAAAAGTATGCTTGATTATTTGATCTCTTCATTAGTGGAACTTTTGTCTCCACACGAGTGGGGCCCGGTTGATGCTCTAATTTTCAAACCATAAGATGTGAAAAGGAAAAGGTGAACAGGAAAAAAAATGAATATGCTTTGAATTCGGGTAAGGTTGGACGAAACTCGGTTACATCGATTATGCTGTACTTATCGAAAAATCTAACTACAATTTTGAAATGGGCAAAAGCCACCAAATATCTTGAACCATGTCACTGTGATGCGCTTACCCTAACTTTTTTTGCGCGACACAAAAATTTCAAACTTGTATCCAAGTGACACATTTACCCTCTATCAAAGTTCTGTTAATGAGAACCATTAAAAATATATCTATATCGACACCAAAAAACAAATAACGTTGACATGACATCCACTTGACTAAAGTGAAATAAAAACGATGTTATTTTTGCTGAAAAGTCATCTGACGAAATCTTGACGGAGGATAAATGTACTGCATATGTACAATTTTGGAGTTTTTTATGTCATAAGAAAAATTTTAGGGTAAATATATCACGGTGTGCATAGTTTGGGATTTTTTGTGACTTTTTCTCTTTTGATAATCGTCTCTTTACGAGTCATAACTAAAGAGAATAAGCTTTCTAGTTAGATGTTTTGAACGGGTGCTTGAAAAGAACGCCATCAACATAACCCTAAACTAAAATCAACTCCAGAATGAGCTGTCTACGTGCATCTTGGTCCGACTGTACCTCAATACATCAAAATCAAAGGCAATCTTCCAAGAAGTTGCTAGGTAATTATATGTCTTGGGGGGGCTGGGGATAAGAACCGATTTCTTCCACAAGAAGGAGATGATGTAAAGGCAAGTGGGACATGGCTGTCGCTAAAAAGTGGGAACTATCAAGGACAAAGCGTTCTCAAAGGATTAAAGTTGAAAATTGATGGAACGAAAACCTAAATGACCAGAGAAAAAATTAGAACATGGAGACAAAGAAAGACTCTCTCTCTCTCTCTCTCTCTCTCTCAATCAAACTGTTCTCACTTCGAGCTGTTGCTTTTGTCAATGGATATGAGCCTTTTGATTATGGACCGTAGGGTGTGTGGTTGTCACTTGTCATCATCATCTTTCGACCGTTCCCACTTGAACCCATCATTATCGATGGATTAACGTTGTATAAAGACAAGGATAGAAGCGGTTTAGTGCTTTGAACCGAGCGTAACATGACGCGGACGTCTAGCAACCAGAATGGTTTCCCATACCAGGAGCAACTCTTGATGAAACTGCGTACGAATTTAGAGTGATCGGGACGACTGTAGTTTCTTGATCGTGCTTGGTCCAGATACCATCCTCATGTGAACAGGGAAAAAAGGGTTCCTCGCCTAAAGAGGGCAAATTGCTCATCGCGTCATGATTGATTGATTACGATGTGAAGTGATTCTAGAAGACCCGCCTTCCGCTGCAAATCAAGAACCTCAAAAAAAATCACATTCTTGTTGTCCTTCAGTTGTTGGCCAGACAAATGAACGAATTGATTGCGTGACCCCCACATGCGACTCTATGCAAAGGACACCCTCTGTCCGTAGCTGCACATCGTGGGAAAATTTCAAGAAAGCTATGATGACTACTTCTATCGATTGAAAGATCTTCCGCATCAATATCTGTTTCTGATCATGACCCCTAGGCAGTACAACACAGCTCCATGTTTTGATCTTTCGAACCATTGCGCCGGAGCTCGTAATCACCAATCTTGCGTGTTTTGATGAAAGAGGCACGTTTCGATGATTAATAATATTTTTGTGATCCGCCCGTTTGATTTGACTCAAATTCATTACCGTCGTCACTAACATGCGAAAGTGAGAGGCATCAAACGCTTTCACTCAAGTTCAATTCACATGGATTGGATCTTTCAATTGCCAAAAAGTCACCTCCCGAATTGACAGCTTTCGGGAGGTAGCTTAATGGAGATGCTCCCGGAATTACCGTTCACATGCACATTTCTTTTTAGAGGGTTCTATTCTATGCATTGTCCCCATGTTTTGAGAAATGCGTACTTTTCGACATCTAGGACTTGGTCTTGTTGGGAAGTGGCAGCATATGCTTGAGGAAAGGGGAATGGATGTTCTAGAAACAAAAGGAAGGAAGAAAAATTGGAGCAAGAAGGAGCTGAATTTTCTCTTCTTTGACGACCTCATATAATCGCATATCCCACTTGTTGAATTGCTATTTTTTTTAAAAATATATATATTTTTGGGTATAGTTTGAGTTGGGGAATTAAATCCCGGATTTTATATTAGCAGAATATTTATCCGAGGGATAATAAGGTTCTAATCTCTTAGGCTGCGTTTAGTGGGTCAGATTAAACTTTTGGATATAATAACTTTTATCTTATCTGGTATTTAGAGTGACGTAAAATCTTGATATGACCGAATATAGCTTGGATACAATTCGGATAAAAGAATTCCACTTAGGAGGTGGAATAGATCTGAATAGGATATGTGAAATTTGAAAAGGGTCGCGCTTTTTTCACTCATACTATGGCTAAAACACTCCCTCTTATAATATTTTGACAATATTAACCTTTGTGGGTTCCACTTTTTTTAAGCATTCTTCAACTACTTCTCTTCTTTCTCTTTTCTGGCAGGGCCACTTTCCTTCTTCTCAAAAAAATGAAATTAATTCAGAGTTGGGTCAGATGAATAAATGGATAGAGTCCTATGACCTCAATTAATTATAAAGAAAGAAAAAGTAACGAGCTTCTGTTCATAATTTCTTAATTTGATTGATTATCCGATCTAATTACACGTTAAAAAGATATTAGTACTTGGTATGGGAAGGGCTTTTCCATGAATGGATGATTATCCATTTTTTAATGAGTCCCAACTATTAGCTATTTCCTATTCTAGGTTGTACATAAATGTGTAGAAGAAGCGGCATATTGATAAAGATATTTTTTTTTCCAAAATCAGAAGAGTGATTGGGTTGAAATGAAAAATAAAGGATTTCTAATCCATCTTCTTATCCTATAACGAATATAAACTAATTCGATTGAAAAAGAGAGGATAGAGAGTCTGGTAATGAGTCCGTCTTCATGGTCCTAATTGCCACTACTATCGCCGATTCGCCATCCCCTACCAACCTCCAAATACATGGCTCGAATCTCCCCCCTCTCACTAAGTTGTTTACGCAAACCAAAAATGCAAGCAGCAAGGATTTGCCCCTCCTTGCGCTTGCGATCTCTCATACTTCCGCGCCGATCTTAATTACCAAGCTGCCGCGGCTGGTGATTAAGAGGACTAAAGAGGTGATTGCGAACTCAATTCTTAAGTTCGAGCCCTTATGCGATGAGGTGGCCCTATTGCCCGTCAATTGTTCGAATCCCCGTGTTCTGATATGCATAAAGTTCAATACAGGAGCCAGGGTATCAAACTCCGGTTAACGATTGAAAAACCGATGAGTGCGACGTGATCTGGACGACAAGTGACAGAGACAGACCACAAAAGAGAGCTTTTTTTTACATATACCACCAATGCTTGAACCATGACCAAATTTAAGAACTTAGGGAGAGAAGTAACGAAGGAGGAAAATGGAGAGAAGTAAAGAAAGAGGAAAACGGGACCCACGAGGAAAAAATTAAAGAAGAAAACCAAACGAGACACCACTACCAAACAAAAAAGGATCCTCAGAAAAGATGGGACCCACAAGGGTTAATATTGTCAAGGCAGTGTTTTAGGAGTGGAAAAAGCACGGCCCCTTTGAAAAACTTAAAAAATAAGGGGTTACGCGCGTGGAATGCAACCTAGAGAAGCCTTCGCCAACGCCATTCACGAGGTGGGACCTACATCGCATCGGCCTGAGCAGACTCCAGTGGCCACCACTCCTCCCACACCGGCGAAAACCTGCTTCATGCCTTTGGCCGCCGAGATATGCGTTGCCGGAGCTCGCCGGCCCTACCTCTTCCTTATGTCACTCAACTCCATCCTAACGGGGAACTTTGTGATCCTGATCAGAGCCCGACGCCTCCTCCGCTAAGAAGATGATCCGATGAAGGTGGCAGCCGGGACGATAGAGCTCCTCGATCGCAGCACTCAGAGCGAGTTGGATCGGAGGAGTTGCCTGCTCGCGAATTGGATTGGTAAGCTGTATCGGCGGAAGCTGTTGAGGCGGCCGAACAAGTCGGAGTGTAGCAATAGGGAATCGGCGCAATATTCACGCTCGTCGAAGGGGATGGATTCACCGCAGAAGGGGAAGACATCGACAGCGAAGACGGCGGGACCGGTGGAGAACTCGAATTCAGGGGCGTCTCGAAGTGGCGAAGACGGAGGTAGAGCGGGGCATAATCCGTGGAGTTCGTTGAGGGCGGCGAAACGGAGGTCGCGGAAGGAGAGGACATCCTCGTTGGCGTCCTCGAAGTTAACCGGAAACAAAACCGCCGGTCGATCTTTGATTAATAGCTTCAATACACCTATTGACGCGAAAAGAAATTCGTACTCTTTTGGACACGGAATAGTACAATTCTACATCTCAACATTCAATAACAACAGTTCGTCACATGTACAGAAGCATGCCATTTAGCCTTGTACCTCTCACAATCAAACTAGTAAATGGGCAACAAATCAAAATGCATGATGTGATCAACTTTGGGTACAGTCGATCCACCTATGTTTTGTTACATTGGGTTCTAAAGAATGGACCTGGAAAAAAAATTACAATATGATAATATCAAGGAAAGTGCTAATTTATTTCACAATTCATCAATGAAAAGCAATTATTCAAAATTTTCCCTCAGAAAAATTATCATCCGACCGGCTCCTTCTCTTGTCTTCCCGGTGCTCATCAATCTTTCTTATCCTCTTCATCCCTTTTATCTTCCATGGAAGCTGGGAAGATAAAGTCCATGCTATTGGTACTGCTGCTACCAGAATTAAACATTGCATCAGCCAAATCTGCCACTAGTGGATACTCAACCTCTTTACCACGTCTAGTTCCACTGGTGGACGGGCCCGCCTCGCTTCCGCTGCCGCTGCCGCTACCGCCGCCTCTGACCGCCATGTTTCTGCTCCCGCTAGCACCGCCCATGCTGAAGTCCACCGGCAGCCATCTGGTTAGCGGGACCGGCGCAGATGCCAAAATCGGCTGTGTGGTCGCGATGTGAGCCATCTCTAGCGAAGCTGGCGGCGGGAGCGGGATCGATGGCGCGGTCGAGGACAGGTGGCACGTGTGGTCGCCGCGGTACGTGACCTCGAACATGAACGGGTCGTTGTCGAGCCTCTGCACTTGCTTCTTGGCGGGGCAATGGTACAACTTTTGATGGGTACACCTATAGTAGCCCCTACCAGAGAGAAGCATACACTTCAACATCGCTTGGCATACCGTCGTATCGAAAAGACTGTTCTTTCATAAATTAAACTCTACAATTCACTTGCATTTGTGCATAAGCTTTCACACATCTATCATGAGAACAAAGATTTCCTCAAGTGATTTTCATAAAGAGCAGAGATCCTCTACTTTATAAGGGGTAAATATTACACTTTATTAATGATTATTCTGGTCGAATAATTCTTTTTAAGTTAGTAGTATTTGTTAATAACACTGTTATATACAAGATCTGTCATCATACTATGTGCTGTCGGGTCAAATGCTTCGTTCAATTTAAGTGGCATTCTTTCAAGTCATGATGACCGGCGAATTTGTAGACCGTTCAGCACTTCCTCCTTGCGTCGATATTTCTTAATTAGATGATGACTGGTCAACTTTAATTGGTAAAATACGGGGTCAAAGTCTTGTTGGATTCGATTGGATGTTCTAAATTTGAGAAGATTACGTTAGACCCCACTAGGAAAATATGTGCACAGTATCTCTCAAAGAAAGTATATTATGTCTATAAGAGACATCTCTGCTTTATGTCACCTCTACGACACGCATTTTCCCTTCTCATCGCGGCTTCAACAAGACATCAAACTTAACCATCCAGTTGAGATGCGCAAAAAACCGACTCAGACACCATTTAACGGTTGAACGAAAAGAAGAAGTTAATGGGTCCATCGACGTCGGGTTTCACGGGGTTGAGCGGTCATTCTATATATGACATTATCGTTACTCATTGCGCACCACAATTTCAAGAGAATACAAAATAAAAAGATGGTGACAGCTAGTAGAGCTGGAAGAAAACCATGGTGGTGTGGTGAACGGAAGACTTTGAATGTGTCAACTCATGTCCATTTCATTACACACACACACACACACACAAAATGAGAGCATCGTTTTCATAGATGGTCCCAAGATGGAATGATGTAATTAATTCCAATCTGAGATTGTGATTACTTTACAAATGAATTCTTGGCCGTAGTATGAATTGGGTTTATACGAATTTGGGCATGTCATTTTTCCTAGAAAGTGGTATTATTGACGTGCGATTAGGGCAAGGGGGGGGAGGGGCGAGGTGGGGTCAACGACATACCTCGGGAACTTTGACCCAAGAATCTCCTTTTGACCATACTTTCTCCAAGTATAACCATCCTCTGGCGGAATCTCTGTATTGCCCATTCTTGGCGCTGGAACCCTAATCGTCCTTTTCTCGGCGTCACTATTCCTGGAAACAAAAAACATCAAGAAATGAACATTGTAACACCCTAAAAGAGAAAGAAAAAAATGAGAAAGTTCCCAGGCATATTCACCAGAGATCCAGGGACCAAGACCTCGTTCATGTCGATGCTAACAGGAAGTATAACCAGAATAGAGAGCTTATAGTTAAGGACGTTAAACAATGGGTAGGTGACATCCTCGTACTTGCTCGCCAATTTTCAAGAAGCTGGGTGGCCTAAGCAAGTCAACGCTAGTGCTGTCAAAGTAATGGATTTGTTTATGAATACGATGAAGTGAACAAACCCAGAAATGGAGCTTAGCGTGGGGGAGTTCTTTACTAAGAAGTAACGTCCTGATGGTGCCTTTTCAAGAAACAACTCAGAAATTCTTGCTTTCTTTATCAAGCACCCCCTCCTCTTTTCCTTCCTTTGTTCGTATGTTGCTTTCGGTTGCTCTTGGATCGTACATAGGATGAGTCAAAAGTCGCTGGGTGTTGATCACTTGGGGGGGACTTGTCGAAAGGTCCCAACAGGTACCCAACAAGCCCACATTGATCAACGAAGCATTAACCGATAAGCACCGATTGATCTAGTATGAATTGGGTTTACGAGATAAGTCTAGCTTTCACATGTCACGTGGGGAAGTGCATTTATGTGCCAAGCCAAGTTGTGAGTTTGCTAAGAGAGGAAGACGGCACGTTTCGAGGTTATTGAAAAATGAGGGAAATGCCGATTGAGACTCGGCGACATCTCGTTCGGTCTATGTGAAAATTTCACGTCGTGGTATGTGGTTTCAAATTTATGAAACTCCTCGTACATTTTTAATTAAGAAATAGCAACTCACATAAAAGAAGGCTAGATTAAAAGCAGAAGAAACAACTGCGATAACAATATGGTGGTGAAACCGAGCCACAAGTATATAAACTATATCTTAAACACACTAAACGAGGATAAAAACTTAATTATATTCAACCAACCCATGATCTCACCACCATACTTATGATGACTCCGGTTTTAAAGTTAAGCAATTGTAAACACATAAATAGACTGATGAACAAAACTATCTAGCTTGACGCAGGAATTTCACATCTTTTACTTTCTTCTCTTACACCAAAGAAACTGTAAGTAGTCCATTCTATTCATTAGGAAGACTATAATGCAGATCAATGAATGTTATGTAATCTAAACTATGCAAATGCATATGACTGTGTCCAAAGTACATTGATCATAGCCAAAACTTAAAATATTTTCGTACCTTCTTCTTGTTCTTTCTGAGGAGGAAGCAGATCTTCGACGATCTGATGACACATCCATTGCCTGCATCTCTTCCCCTCCGCCACCAGTTCTCAGAAAAAGACCCTCCCCCGTCGCGGCCGCACCCGCGGCTTCCGGTGTCACCTCTCGCCGCTCTATGTCGCCCATTCTCGCTCCCCTCATCCCAGACCAATACTGCGTTTGCTGGAGAATGCTCGCTGCCGGCCCATAGCCTGACGACCCCAGCAAGCCCTCAAAATTACTACTACCACTACCGGCTTGAACCTCCGACCGGTGCGGCTCTTGCATCTCACGGTACCCGCCTGAGCCAGCATCTAGAGGATTGTGCACGAGCTGTTCTCGAATGGCGCTGAAGGCCTGGATGATCTCTTCGCAGGAGTTGGCGAGATGGTTTGGTTGGTTGGCCATGTTGGGCATGTTGAGCTCAAGCTCTCTGGCCAACCTGCAGCCTCGAAGAATTAAATTTATGATGTCGTCCATTTTTTCCGGAGGGACTTTGAAATTTTTTTCTTTTTTGGTGCTCCTGTCTGATGGGTCGTTGGCTGTCTGAAATTTTGGAAGATGAATAAGCCAACTTAGGACATGATACGAGATATTTAAATGGGAGAAGGTAAATGCTGCTTTTTGGAGTCTCTCTCTCTCTGTCTCTGTCTCTGTCTCTTCCTTCCTCTTTCTTTATAATTTGGTGCTTTGCTAAGGGTTTGGGGGGTGAAAGTTTGTGGAAACTTTATCGGTGTAATTCAAAGTATTCGTGTACTCTTTGAACACGGTACAAGGAAGGGAGGACCGAGGACTTGGTCGTGGTCTTGGCTTCTTGGACATTCAAAGGTTTTATTTACGGGAGAGCTGTGCATCGGAAGTTTTTCTGTGTCTGGGGGAAGACTCTGCCCTTTGAATCAACGGGTTGGACCCTGCAGAATATTCTAAACATTTGAAGCTAGTTAGACCGTTAATGGCGAAAATGTTACTCCTTCTAGGGTTCTTTAAAGTATTGAAGGATGACGAGTTGGGTTATTACAACTTCGGTGGACTCGTGTTTTCTTTCTTTTCCTTTTTCCAATGGTCGGACCACCTTCTTGGACCTGATCAAACGGGGTATACATCAAGAAAATTGAAAACCCTAATTCAAGAAAGGTCCATCAGTCATCACACAGAGGAAGGCAGTCATTTCCATGAAAGAACACTCTAGCTGAGTTGGCATCTACAAGGGAGTAAATTAAAAAAAAAAAATTAGAGGCAAAGGTCATTGGCCACTGGGGAGGGAAATCATTACCTCTATGCGTGATAGTATATAATATTAGGGGAAAGTTAGATAAAAGCAAAACAGGAGTCTCAATTGGGGAGTATATGAGAGGCTATGTGGGTTCATTCATCTATGTTAAAATGGAGGACTCAAAACAACCAAGGGTTGAATATCTGGCTTTGTTTGAAAATAAAAAATTAGAGAAAAACCATGCTAAAAGGGAAAAGCACTCAAAAGAGAATTGGGATATAAATTCCTCCTAATGAACTTAGTTAATTACCTAACATAAAGTTGTAGATTTGTATTTCTCTAACCACCAAGGTGGTTGGCCTAATGGTAAAAGGGTCACTTGTCTTTCACAAAATCGCGGGTTCGATTCACGTTGTGAGCGAATCTTTAAATGACTCCTGCTGCATTGTCTAGTTGTGCCATACTTTGTACGGAGAGATTTACAGGCTACTAGGACATCTTGGTGAGACTGTGATGACGGACTTGCCAACTTTGGAATTTTGAGTTGGGTGTGGGTCACTAGTGCTAATAGCTCCTTCCCGCCCTTTTGATTTTGAAAAAGATTGTTCTTATAGGTGTTTTCATGTACTAAATATTTCTAAATAGTAAATAACAGACAAAGTTGATATGCATATCCCTTATTATATTTGTAAAGAACAGGCAAAGCTAAGCTTCAATTTTCTTTTTCTTTTTTTTAGTTAAAACAATGCTTTATTAAATACCACAATTGATATAAGGGTTATATTAAACAACGCTCATTTATAAAAAGAAATTGTCAAGTGACCAAATAGGAAATGTTTAACGTATTCAATCTTTGTGATATATATAGGGTCCGTTTGGTAACACTCTGTTTCTAGGAATAATTTCTAATCAGAAATAGTTTTTTCTATTTCTATTTCCTGAACGAGTTTTTGAGTAAAAGAACGTGTTTAGTAACTGCACAAAATTTTTATTCCCGAAAAAGAAAATGAACATAAAAACGTTTGGTACAACTCTAAAATTTTTTGTAACGTGGAACTTTTTCTAGTTTTTTAAATAATTTTCTGATATTTCTCTAATTTTTTTGAATTCTTCTTCTTTTTTTCTTCCCTTCTTCATTCTCCTCTAGCTGGTTGTTGGGCCTCAGTGATGGCCGGTGACTGGCCAGAGACAAGGGTCGGCGAGGTCAACCTCGCTGTGGTTAGGAGAGGTCGGCCTCGCCGTGACTGGGTGAGGCCGACCTTGCCGGGGCTGGGCGAGGCTTGACCTTGCCGGCCATCGTCGAGACCCGTTGATCAACATAAGGAGGAAGAAGAAGAAAAGAAAATGACCATGTTTCATAAATTTTTCGCGGGAACAAAGAAGTGGATTTTTTTTACTTCTTATTTTGCTCCAAATCTATTTTTTTTACTACTTTTCTATTCTGGGGAATAGAAAAATTAACTAACGTTACCAACGAATTTATGTTATTTTTACTGCTATGGGGAAGAAAAATAGAAAAATAGAAAAATATAAGTGTCACTAGTCAGGCCCATAGTAACTGGTGCTTGACATGTGTAAGCACTCAATGATAAGATCCAGCCAAGGCTAAAAGAGCAAGAAGTTAACATGTAAAGAATTATGCATTTTTATGTCTTTGTTGAGATTGAAATCAAGTTATTTTAAAGGGGATAGATATAATGCATGCAAGCCAAGTCAAGAAAAGGGACTTCCTATCAAGCTAACTGTGTAGACAATTGATAACATGGGAAAAGTACAAAAAAAGAATCCTTAACTTGTTGTATTGGTACCAATTCAGTCTTAAATCTTTTAATTGGATCAATTTAGTCATAAACCTTTTTCACGTTTTGCCAATTAAGTCCATTTGATCAATTTAGGTCGGAAATTGTTGACGTGGACGCCCGCCAGCCGTCCTACGTGACACGACTGGCGTTGACATAGATAATATTTTTATTTTTAAATATTTTTATATAAATTTTCCTTTTCCTTTCCTTTTCCTTTTCTTGTTTTTCTTTTCTTTTCCTTCTTTGCTTTTTTTTTTTCCACTATGGTTGGCGAGGGTTGCCAGAGATCGCTGGCCACTAGGCGAGGGCACAGTGGCCCTAGCTGTGTCACGTAGGACGGTCGGCATCCACGTCAGTAATTTCCGACCTGAATTAGCCGAATTGACTCAATTGGCAAAATGTGAAAAGTTTTAGGACTGAATTGGTCAAATTGAAAGGTTTATGACTGAATTGGTACCAATGCAATGTGTTTAGAACTTTTTTGATTTTTTGCGCCGATAACATGACCCAGTCACAGTGCAAGCCGGAAGAATTAGAGGGCAACAAGCAAAGAGTCATTTTTTCATTTATTGTTGATTTTGAAACCTAACTTCATTTCAAACGGGGTTGGTATAATTAATGCACCTAGGCCAAGTCAAGACAAGGACTTCCTCACTTTTCTTTCAACATGATTTGAAGCCTTAATGGGATGCTTCTTTTCGGCACTCGGTTCCTCTGTCTTAAGTCAAGTTCAGTTTACTTTTTCAATTCGGAACTCTTAATTGAGCTAATGGGGGAGATCGATATGCTGTTCGAGATCATTGCCCAGTGACGCTTTTAAGAAAGAATGATCGCCATAACTTATATCTTCTTGACATCGTCAAACCATCAATCCACACTCGAGCCTATTCCCGACCACTTTTAAGAAAACTTTGGTTTAAGATCAATTGAGCCCGACCCATGAGCTACATATAATTGTTTTAAGTACAGAAATGAAAGACATAGATGATTTGAGGAAAAAAAGAGAAATTGGAAAAATTTACCCAAAAAATGCCATAGAACATAAATAAAATGCAACTCCGTTGATCTCTTTTAAATATGACTTAAAGGATAGCTGACTCTATAAAAATGAAAACAAAAGTAAAATTTTGGTAGATTTTAATCAATAAACGACGAATGAAATTTTACCTCCCAGATTTTGGCAAATGTGACAAGTTGTCTCCCTAACTTTTCAATTTCTTGCACTGTTGTCCCTAGAATATCAAAATAAATTTTAAAAAAAAACTACCTTGATATTGATCTTGATCAATTTTTAATCTAATCTCCATCGGACATCGACTTGAGCTACATTAGCACCGGTCGTGCTGCCTTTTATGTGGTACATGCGTGTGGATGTGGTGCTGGCTCCACTAACAATGTGGCTTTTATGTGCTAGAACTCTCCCCTCTCTCTGTCTCTAAATATATATCGGCAATAGACGTTATAAAATCATTTCTTCTTATTGATAAATTTTTCGCTCACACAAAAACTCATGGAAGTTAAGTATTTTATTATTTTCAACTGGCAACAACAAAATTTGACACGTCATCGTCATAATGAACTTATTTAATCACCTAATATAATAAGTCTGTAGATTTGTATTTCTTTGACCACCAAGGTGGTTGGTCTAATGGTAAAAAGGTCACTTGTCTTCCACAAAATCACATGTTCGATTCACGTCATGAGCGAATCTTTAAGTTATTCTTATTGCGTTGTATAGTTGCGCCATACTTTGTATGGAGAGATTTACGGGCTACTAGGACATCTTGGTAAGGCTGTGATGATGGGCTTGCTAACTTTGAAACTTTGTATAGTTCCTTCCTGCCCTTTTGATTGCTAAAAAGATTGTTCTTATAAGTGTTTTCATGTACTAAAGATTTCTAAATAGTAAATAACTGACAAAGCTTTGATATGCACATCCCTTATTATATTTGTAAAGAACATAAAGCTAAGCTTCAATTTTATTTTCTTTTTTTTTAAGCTAAAACAATGCTATATCAAATACCACAATTAATCCAAGGGTTATATGAAACAAGGTTCTTTATATAAAAAAAAAAAAATTTGTCGAGTGACCAAATAGGAAATGTTATTTGATTTTTATCGCATTTAATCTTTGTAATATATATAGGGTGTATTTGGTAACATTTATGTTCCCGAGAATAATTTGTTTCCAAAAATAATTTTTTCTATTTCTATTTCATAAACGAATTTCTGAGCAGAACAACGCATTTGGTAATTGCACAAAATTTTTATTTTCGAGATAGAAAAAGAACATAAAAAGTGTTTGGTACAATCCTAAATTTATTTTGTGAAGTAGAATTTTTTTAGCTTTAATGATTTTCTGATATTTTTCTAATTTTTTGAATCTTTCTTTTTTTCCTCCCTTCTTCTTCCGTCTTTAGCCGGTCGCCAAGCCTTGGCAATGGCTGCTGACCGGGCAGAGACAAGGACCGGAGAGGTCGACCTCGCCGTGGCTGGGAGAGGTCGGCCTCATCGTGGCTAGGTAAAGCCGACCTCATGGTGGCTGGGCGAGGCTCGACCTCGCCGGCCATTGCCAAGGCCCG